TTAATCAATATATATATATATATATATATATATATAGAGAGAGAGAGAGAGGGAGGATTTACTTTCCAAACCACGTTATTTGTACAAACCATACAAACCTCATTTAACCAATCATAATTTTACATTTTATTCATTTTTTTGTAATTATGAGAGATTGATTAATCATTTTTATTGTGGATGGTGTGAATCATGGATATTATCATCTTCATTATTAGAGAAATACATGAAACAATTTCATTAAAATTTCATAAGTATTATATGAAACAATTTTATAACTATATATGAAACACCTTTGTAAAAAAATATATATGAAACAATTTTATAACTACATATGAAACAACTTTATCAAAAAAAAGTATTATATGAAATAATTTCACAAAATTAAATGAAAAAATTTCATAAGATTAAACAATGAAATTGACGGATAAAAGTGGTTTCCACGGTTTGTAAAAATATAGATGGTTTGCATTTGATCGCTCATAAATATACGATTATTATAAAAGAGTTAAAAAATAAATAAAATTAAAATAATGTTAGTAACATCCGTCCCTATATATACGTTAGTTAGGGTAGGGGCAGGGGCAGGGGCAGGGGCAGGGGTTGATTGGTGGGGGGCAGTTTTTGCCCATAAAATAATCAGGCTTGTTAATGGTGTTTAAATTTTGATTAATTACTTGTTAAATAAAATTCAAAATATTTATGTCATCACATGTTACCAAATATAGGGAGGATCAAACAAACAAAAAAAACCGATCAAACTAAGATGACACAAGAATGGCTATATAACATACTGATTTTGAACTGAAACTACGTAACACGATTAACGCAAAGCTGTGTGAGCGACTTCGCCCATGACGTCCCAGGTTGCAACCAAGGTTGCGTGTAATCATATGTGATTTTACACATGAATTTACTGTAAAATCACATGTGATTTGGTCGTTCTTGTGTTCTCTTATTTGGTTCTTGTTTTTGTTCGAATCCAACTCTTAGTGTATATATATATATATATATATATATATATATACACACGTAATTTTAGTGTAAAATCACATGTGATTCAATTATTTTCTTATTCTATTTTTTGACTATTGTTCTCGTACGAAACTGACACTTTCTCTCTCTCTCTCTATATATATATATATATATATATATATAGTATTGGTATTTAATCTGTAAAATACGAATACGTTATTATGTAATCTGATGTATTTATGTAGGTACAGAAATTTTATACGTCTCCGAGTATATACATACTGTATTAAGATTAATCTATGAAAGAGCTGAATGATTAATGAATTTAATAATAAAACATGCGTGTAGCTTTTGGATGGGAGAATAGACATAGAAGCTCCCTAAAGATTTGTGGGTGTTAGAATACATAAAGTGGAGAGATATGCTCCAAGATTCATATCTCCCACCTTTTAACTTTTATTGGCAATCTTTCATCAAAATTATATCATCTTACACCTGTAAAATACAGTCATATATGGAAAAATACTGTATAAACACTACGTTTTCACACATGTTTTATATGTGAAACAACATATGAAAACTGTTCTGTAAGTTTGTACTGTTTATGACGTATGTAAATGATTATGTGTTTAATTCTTTTCTCTACCTGTATGTTGTTTCAAGTCAAGTGTATTGCCTTGCCAGGAAACACTGTTGATTAATTCTAATCATCGTGATCCAAAATTGTGTGTTTATCTGTCATCAACATCAAAATCTTTGTCGGTAATGACTACTGCAAATAGACAAGAGGGTTTCTGTTCTTGTGTGTGTGTCGGTCTTGATGTGGGTAGGAACCCCACTTATAAAGCAAGTATCTGATCGTGAAGTTTGGCCTTGATCAATTATCTACGTTTTCGTATATTGATTTCAATAGTTTTCGAATTTGCTTAAACATGTCTTCTCAGGCTCGATGTTGAAATATTTCACCATTAACTACAATATTTTTTTTTTTTTTTGTGCAACTATTATGTGTATGCACTATAAATAGAACAAATTGTATGAAAAAATAATGTACTTTAACGTGATTCCTATTTTGAGGTAATTTAGTTTCAAAACTTTCATTTTGATACATAAGATGTAAAGTTTTAAACATTTAAGTACCCAGGTAACCGGTTGAAGTATTAACCAGTTACTATGCAGATGTGGCGATTGATGGGATAAAATTGAATTTAATAGCAATTAATAATGAGTTAGATATCACATCAGCATGCAGTGGCGGACTTACTGTGTAAAGAGTGGGGAAAGGGCCCCCATTAAAATATAAAGAGAAAGAATTTTCCTAGGTTAAAAATTATCTTTTTTACTTTCTACGATGGTTCTCTTCAGTAATTTCTTGTTAAGGCCCCCACCAACTAAAGAAAGTATCTCGAAATCAACCAAAAAACTAAAAAATTCTCTCGAATCGATAAAAAAATACCTTAAAAATCCCTCGAAATAATTCAAAAATCTCTTGGGATGGTGGAATTAGGCTAAAAACACATCGGACGACTTTGTGGGCGTTTAAGCTACCTTAAAGGTGCCCCCACTAGACCAAAATCCTGGATTCGCCACTGTCAGTATGGTAACCGGTTAATGTTTCAATCGGTTACCCGGGTACTTAAATGTTTAAAACTTTACATCTTTAGGTACCAAAATGAAAGTTTTAAAAGTACATTACCCAAAATATAAATCAAGTTAAAATACGTTACATTTTCATACAATTTACAATTTCTTAAAATAGATATCAAATATAACACAACATATACAGGAATGGAGGGATATTGCCTCCAACCTACTTCAAATGTGGCTGTTAAAATAGCACTGCCTTATTTGACCTCCAAATATGAAGGTCAAAAAACATGGTTTTTATATCTAAATATTACCTTATTTTTTTTTAATTAGAGAGAGAGAGAGTCAGGTTAGAGGAAAATTGATAAAAAAAATTAAAAATTAAAAAACACCTTAATAATCATTCATCTGTACAATATGCATATGTTTACACTAGTAATTGAAGATTTTTTTTAGTTTCTATACATGTGTGTATGTTATGTATATGTGCATATCTAACAAAATACTTGTACGCACATGTGCATATTATATGAATGAATTGTTATTAGAGTGTTTTCTAGTTTTTCGTTTGTTTACGGTTTCCCTAAACCTGATTATATATATATATATAGAGAGAGAGAGAGAGAGAGAGTGTGTGTGTGTGTGTGTGTTCAAACGAGAACGTTAACTATTTAAGAAACAAAAAAAAATCGTTAATGTACGAAACCACATATGATTTTACATTAATGTCAAAAAAGTAGAAGCGGATGACTTTTGAACTTGTATGATTTTGTACGTAAATATATATATATATATATATAGAGAGAGAGAGAGAGAGAGTTTATTTCAAATACAACCTGTTGCATTTGTACAATCAATGCAACCCAATAAATTAAGATATTTATGGAAATGATGAGAGTTCATTTATTATGATTTGAATATTTATGGAAGCTGAATATGATTCGTTAATTATGATCAATACTTTATATTAGGAAACAATCAAAACTTCTATGAAATCACATATTAATCAAATGAAATGGACGGTTGAAATTGGGTTGTATTGGTTGCACAAATGTCATGGGTTGTATAATAACCAACCTATATGTGTGTGTGTGTGTGTGTGTGAATCATATATAATTTTGTATATTAACGATCTTTTTCTTGTTTTCTTAAAGAGTTAGCGTTCTCGTTTGAACATGTCTTATATATATACTAGAAGAGTACTCGCACAATGCAGCGAGATACATTTCAATCTTAATATTTCATTTTATTCTGTCCCTGTCAATGTTATAATGTGGTTTTGAAAAAAACGATAATGTTTTTATTTTTTAATAAAATATAAATATGAAGGTATCATAAGATTTTGAAAAGAATATATCCATATTAGTATCAAAATTAACTATTTAAAAAGTTATTGTATTCTTGTGTAATTTCTTTAATTCAATTTTTTTATTATAATTTAATTTAAGTTTAATAACAAAGTAATTTATTTTTTATTTGATAATATAATGTTTTATAAAGATAATAATTAAGTATTCTATAAAACTCAATGATTATCCTGATTATATTTTAGATTTTATATTTAAAATGAAATGTTTATTTGCAATTAATTATGTTTATCTGCAGTTAGTTATGCGAATTCAAACATGGAGCTTTAATAAATTGTACTTACGCATAATTTACTTGTAATCTTGAATTTTAAGTAATATGCATCAATAACAGTATTTCATGTAAAAATTGGTTTTTAAGAGTTTTTTTCAAATGTTTTATGATATAGTATAGGACTTGGGATCATGTGAGACCAAGGGTTTTTCGTGAGACTCGTAAGACCAATTCTCAACCATTGGATTAGATCTACAATATGAACATTCATAATCACAAAATTGCCACGAGACCGTACAACTTTAGACCATTAGATCATTAACTTATAAAGTTGATCAATGAACATAAATCGGACTTACGAACGCTACCAAACGCTAACTAAATTTGCACATTTATACCAAACAAACCAACTTCAATATTAAGGAAAAAAGAACAGCCCAATCTATGGGGACCCAAGAACAAACATGTCCACATGAGAAATCCATCAAGTCCCCTTTTCAAGATACCAAAACCTAAACACGCCCACTTACCAAATCTTTCAAGACCCAATATTCAATACCCCAATCAGTGGGAACACTTGATTGGTTAAAAATACCAGAAGGTTTCAGGTTCAAATGCAAGGAGGAATAAAAATCCCCTTGTAGTCCTGAGGTTCAAATGCAGTAACTTCAGGCTATCTGCAAAGTAGATGGTCCCCTGGGATTATAACGGACTGGATATCCAGGTTAATCAAAAAAATATTATAATAATACCAAGCTTTATACCATCTCTAAAATGGCAAAGGAAGATCAATACATCCATTTGTTCATTGTGTTACAATAAGTAACAAGATCTCCATATCAAAACTAGAAATATCATATACTAGCAGTAGCAGGCAAGCTATCCAAGTAAAATTCAACTTTCCATACACAAGGTTTCAGCAATAAAAATGCAAACATACTCGATTCCGATACCCTAAAAACGATGAATCCAAGAAAGACACAATGTTGTTTCGCAATTCCTACAAACCATATATGATGAGCACACACCATATCTATGCTTCCATTTACACACCTCCAGCATCAAAAATTAACGATACAACCCCCCACCTATTTGCCTTCCTTTCTTTCTAGTGTGATTTCCAACACCAATACCAACAGCAGTTGAGCAGACCATGTATTGCGTACCGCACTTGGTTGTACCATGACAACCGTAAAGTAAAGCTTATTTATCAATCAGACCATCAATCCGTTTTTGTGTTTTGTTGGTTTCTAAAGAGGGTCGATTGATCCACTTTTGAGCCTCTCCATTCGTGCTTGAAGCCCCGAGAGTGCCTTTTCGTCCATGGGAAGGACCCCACTGTGAACCACTGGATTCGGATTACTTTCTTGCTCTGTAGACTCGTGATGCTCGCTACCATTCATCATTGCTCGGTTTCCAGGTTCACCAGAAGCCAACTGGATGCTCTTCATCCTCTCTCTTATTGCATCTAGAGTCCCACTACTAACTGCAGATCATCAGTAAATACATCAAATGTAAAAAACTTCACACAATAATCCATAATCTATTTACTAAAATTCATGATGTATAGTGTCATTAACACATAAGCCGGTTCCATCAATGGTGTCGATCTTCTATTTTCGACGATAAACTTTTTATATCCTAAATTAGAATTGATATATTTAAACATTAAAAACCACCTTTACAAACCTGTTAACATTTTTTGCCAACAAGACACTTTATAATGACACATTCAATAGGTAAAGATTTTGGAATCATAAAGGTGTGTTTGGTACACTGGACAGGACAGAACAAGGATCACTGTTCCACATTCGACAGGACTTTTATGTGAAACAAACCTATATTTTATTATTATAACCTCAAAATAAAACCTAATTCTCTTTTAAAACATCAAATACACCTCCCTCTTTACATTTTATTCATTCTTTAATTTTTATTTATGCTACTTTACTGTCCTCAAAATATTATATTTATATAATTGTTATATTTTGGTTAATTTATGTAATTTAGTAAATATTAATAATATATATATATATATATAAAAGGTATAAAATAAAAATAGGGAACTTCGTGAACTTTTTATTTTGGTGTCATTTTAATCGTTTTAGTCATATATATATATAATTTATCTGTTATGCCCTATCCATTTCTATCATAACAAACACTGAACAGTTGTTCTCTCCTGTCTTGTCTTGTCTGGATACCAAACACACCCTAAAGAACCACTAACTCAATATGCAAAGGGCATGTAGCCCACAATTTAGTTGTGCATCAGTTTTGATTACTTAAAGTTTACCGAAATTTTTGGACATTTAACCTATAAAGATTGCAATTTTTGGACATTTATCCTATAAAGATAGCAATGTAAAGAACATAATACAAAAATAGTGAGTTAAACGGAGACAAACCTCCTGATGGGAATCTGTCATTCCTCTGGTCTCCTACTTGCTGCCTATAATCTGATTGAACAGCCATTGGACCTCTTGAAGCCATAACATTCTCCGTCCTGTCATCTTCAGCATATGACGGTGGTAAACTGAAATTTGTGGGCTCCGCTTTAGTATTAACGGATTTTTCGTCATTTAAAGAATTTGTATGTACAGGTGAAAGAGGTGCAAATTTCGGGGATGAAAGGTTCAATGCAGATGGTGGAGGTGTTGGCATAGGCACACTGGATGGAGTTCTTCCAGCTGCCGCGTTCTTTTCCATCTGGGTATACAAGATAACGATAATATTAGATCTGAGAAAATCCATCGATATCTTAAGTGATATTTATCCAAGATGAAGGCTAAGCAGACCTGAGCTAAACCATCTCTAATGTATGTTCGGAAAGCTTCACTTGCATTTTGAAGTTGAGAAAATATGTCAACCTGACAAAAAAGATTCAAACCTAAGATCTCATGATGGTGATGAATTAATCACAAACTAAAATGAAATGAAAACGAATATGTTACCTTTGGATACAACTGAGTTATTCGGTAGAGTTCATATAGACCAATACTGCATGTTTGTTTGTCTCCAATTTTCTTGAATATTGCCGCCAGTTCTTGCTGTGAACACAATACAGATGAAGTTTAGAAGCAGAAAATCTAGGGGTGTTCAAAAAAACCGGAAAACCGAGCCGAACCGATAATTGAAAATTCCAAAAATTAAAAAAAAACGAAAAAACTGGGTATCCACGGGTCAGTTACGGCTTTGAATTTTAGGTACCTGCGGGTACCCGAACTGGACCAGATATAACGTATATATAATATTCGATATTAAATATTTATATTATTACATATACATTTATTAACCCAAAGTTAAATGAGTAAAGTCTTTTACATTTTGATGTCAAGCATTACAGTGGTATTTAGTCATGAAGAGCCAACATTAACCAAAAAATTGATGTTTTAAAACAATTAAACTTATTTTAATTTGTAGCACCTTAATTATTTTTATTTATTTGTTGTGTAATTGTTTTAAATGCTATATTCAGTAAATCAGTACCATTTTTATATTGTAAATGATATTTTTTGTAAATCTGGTTAACCATGAACCAAACCGCAGGTAACCGCCTTATTTCAGTTCAACCTACGGTTCGGTTTCGGTCCGGGTAGCCAGGTATCTGCCTCATACGGTTCGGTTCACATTTTCCCTACCAACCGAGCTGAACTGAACCATGAACACCCCTAAGAAAATCAAACGTGGTCTACAATAAACGGGACGAAACGTTATAGAGGTCAAACAACAAACCAAAAGGAACACACCTTCAATTGGGCATCTGCAGAATGTGAAGCAGGCATTGGATTATTGGCCATCGAATCACCCCAATGTGTTTGGCCAACCGGCCCAGTTGGCGTCAACATTCTTGCAGCAGCCAATGTCTAACATTTGTACAAAAAACGGAATAAATACAAGTGTTTTACGACACATTTCATGGTCGATCATATGATATCAAACAAAATACCTGAAGATTAAGATCGATGTAGGCAAGTATTATAGGTTGGGGTTCCATATCTATCGGAACCATAGAAAGATGACCTTTTATTGCGGTCCCACGAAGCTTGACAAGCTCATGTAAGACGGTTTTGACCATGCGCAAAGGCTTGTCATCGGCTCCAGCTCTATAAGTGTTTCAAAATATTGACGGAAAAAAAGGAAAAACGTTCAGTAAGTTGGCATTTAGAGTTGCAGCCTCCAAGATATCTCATAAGTACAATACATACCTCCTCCTGATTTCTTCCATCCCGAGTTCTTGCAGATATACATGGATGCTTTGGAGAATGCGATCAAGGTCAACCTCATATATGGTGCTTTGAAGGACCTGCATAAAGACATGAGTTCGAGTGTGTGTTTAAAACTGCAAATCTCTCAAATATATAGAAACAAGAGATATTTTAAGTTGGATAAAAGAGCTACTGACCTTTGTAAGTTTGATCAAGCATTTCACAACCAAATCTGAAAACTTCATATTTCTTGTAGCAAAAGACTCGTTTGATGGCGGAGACGGCCATCTAGACGGGTCGAGTGGTTTTAGGAGATTGATCAGTACCACAAATGACGATGTTCGCTCTGCATTATCCTGCATTTACAAACAAGTCAATACAATAACGAACACAAATGAAAAAAATACATACATGAGTTTAAGTGGAAAACTTCACCAATATCTTAAGCATTAAAACATTTAACGCTTTCAGAAGCTGACTGCCATCATCCATCCTTGGAACCCTTTCATCTAAAAGCCAAAGCAAAAGCTCTGTAATGAGATTATCAAGTGTTCTCTCATTGACAGCATGAGCAAGTCGTTTGTTCTGAAATGTCTGCAAAAGGAAGGCACAATCTTGCAACGTAAGGGCATGTTTGTCAGCAGATTAATGGGCTTAATGGGACTCATAGCTTATCCAGTCAGCTATACATGACTGTTTGGTAGAGCCTTAATTATATAGAAAGTGGCTTATTGAGTAAGCTTCTAAGTGAGCTTTATGTAGAAAGCAAAGTTCTTCTCTAAACCTTCCCCTCCCAATTATAAAAAATGTTCCTTCCATGTATGAAAAAACCCTCACAAACATAAACCTTCTCAATCTATACAGACAGATTAATCCACACAGACAACTTTATCCAAACAGGACTTCATGGAAACTAACCAAACAGCCCCTTAGTGTAGAAGAGTATGCAAAATTACCTGCATGAGTGTGTTGAGAACATATTTACAAGACCTTGAAGATGCGCCTGTCAAGCTGAAGTCAAAGGTCTTCGCAACCTGGTAAATTAAAAAAAAGACAAATGTGAAAGGAAATATCAGAAAACACAAATTTCAAATGAATTGCAACAATCCCGTTCTAGAGACATTATGGAAGAGAAGAAAACAAATTACCTTAGTTGCTAAACAAGAAACAAGTTTGTCAGCATCTTTGACTAGATCATCCATTAAACTGCCCTCGGGATCGTTTGTTGCAGCTGCCAATTCATGGCACACAACTTTCATACCTTCAACAGACTGCAAGAATAAATGCAATTAGATTTGGTTGCAACAAGTAACCAAAGCAACCAAAATAAGGGGGGGAAATTAATTGCAGCCAAAAAGACGAGACGGGTTGTGTCTTCAAAACTAAGATGTAAAGAAGATGAATCCACACCTGCTCAGGAGAGCCATATGTAATGATATCTAGAGCTTCATTCCAATCTGTGGGGCCAATTGCACCTCCAGGTGGGCGGGCAAATGCAAGTCTTTCCATTTGAGGCTCTGGGGGGGCATACATTTCCCTAAAACACAAACCATGTAGCTTACACATATCAGAAAAAACAATTATGTAACCAAATGATGCAGCTTTTCGCAACAATAAGGAATGCAGACAAAAGTCTGATTACTAGTGGAAAAAGAAAAAGTACAACAAAAAAAAAAAAAGACAGAAGGACCTTATTACCTGCTAAATGCTGGTCCAGACATGGATCGTGAAACTTCACCACTTTGCTCAGCAACATCAGATCTGTACAACAATAAATAAATTTTGGTACAAGTGGTAATCAAAAAATATATTACGAGAGAACAATAACAGTATAGCATATTTTATTGTTGCATCAAGTCTTGCAATATGCTGAAATAGCTACTCAGACCTATTAATGTCCATATGGAAGAACTAATCAGGAGTATTGAGAGAAAGAATTCAAATAGACTTCATAAACTAATGAAGGAAGAAGCACAGAAGAGCATGGCAAAACTAAATGATTAAGCTGAAGTCCAGAAAGTGGATGTTTACCCATTTTCTCTCACAGAACGCCTTAAAGCAGCTCTTGCTTCACCTGGCTTCCCCTCCTTTCTTTTTTCCATTTCCCGGGTCTAGGAAAAATAATAAAATAAAAATAGGGTGACAGTTATATACCAAACGACAATGAAAAAATAGCATTGTTTCTGTCCCACAAGAATCGCAATCATTCCTCATCACATTTATTAAGAAGGCGATTAACTTTTTGCTTACTTCCCGAGTAATGTTCAAAAGTGATAGAACTGACCGCCCCCCTTCCCAAACAAAAAAGGGATCTGTCTTCGTGAGTAAACGGATAGGGCAGATATGCTTTTTGAGTTAAAGAACATTTCCCAAAATAAAGTTGCAATTCTTGCGGAATTGTAAACAGGAAAAAGAATATACCTTCCACTTGAATCTATCATCTAGCATGCTTCTTTGTGCTTCAGTCAGCTTCCCAACGTATCTCCAGATGTCATCACCTTACATTAATTTTTAATCAGACAATCAGCAATGAAGAAGGGCAAGAAATTTCCAACAAAGGTTTATATTATTCCTGTCTAATATGCATATTACATATTGCTGTTCAAATTTCAATTAAAATAACATTTTCATTTATTAAGATTCAGACATGAAAGTAACCTTAAATATGAGAGAAGATTAACCAGATAACTCACCAAAAATCTTATAACCAGTGGCTAGACAATTTAAAGCTGCCTTTCTAAGTTCACCATCTCGTTCTGCAGTTAAGCTTGCAACAATTTGCAAGGATTTTAGCTGTCCGCTTATCTGCACAGTGGTGAAAGGTATGAGCAACCTTCAACTATAAGATGAAGCATGAAGTGTAGATGATTACATACCTCTGAGCCATGATTATCAAGCAAAAACTCAACAAGATCGACACACTCAATTCTCGTCCTGTTATTTCTAGAACGCAGACCTTCCAAAATATAAGGGAAAGTTTTCGCAGCCGAATAACTATGTATGATCTGCTTCATTAGTTCCCGCAGTTTCTCTCGCAGCTTCTCAATGTTATGACCAGTCTGCACAAAAGTTCAATAATGGAGTCGATATTAAACTTCTGTCTGGTAATTGTTTATAGCACATCACTAACAAATAGAGAGAACCCGCGTCTATTTCAGACGGCATGATGAAGTTACTAAAATTTCACTTCAAGTATAATCTTCGAAAATGGAACTGAGATCAAGTTAACATTTAAAAGCATGAGGTCCCTACAATGAATACACTTGCTCATAAAAAAATAAACAATCCACTAGAATATATATTTGGGTCGGAATAACCTTCTCAACCAAACAAGGAAGAAAGATGGAAGCTTCAGATTCGTTCAGAGTATAGTTCTCATTCGTTAATGTGTCAAAGAGCTCTGGGAGGAACTCCAACACCTATTTAACATATTTCACAAAGGTTACAAGTTATTAACAAATTAAAACCAAAGATAAACAATATAATGTAACTGATAAAACAAAGGAGTAATAGAAAATTCACCTTAAGTAGGCAAGATGTGTTGGATTCACAAAATCGCAAAACAAACCACTTTAACAGTATATCTAGAACTTCAATTATTTCCTTGGCTATAGATGGAAGTGCCTGGATAAGAGATAAATGAAATTAACTGTTGCCTCCAATACTCAATTTGAACTTATAAAACCATGAACATAAAGGATTGGGTTCCAGTGAGAATGGAAGTTATGGTGAGAAGGGTAAGAAGGGATCTCCACCCTTGGATCAATCCTAATTGAAGATCAACACTAATGAGATGCACCAAGATGCACCGGATCAATTCCCGTGGGAAGAGCAATTCATAAGGTGAGGGTGAGATTAAAAGTGATCAAAGGTCCAGATCCCTTCTTACGCTTCTCATATTAACGCTTATTCTCACACGATCCTTCATCTATAACATAAAGGGTACCTTCTGAAGCATCTCAATCCCATCAACTTGCTTTTTGAAGTCTGTGCTCAAAAGCCGCCTGTGCAAATCCTCCCTGAAGTACTTCATCAGATCATTCTGTTTCAAGACAAATAAATACATCATTACACTTTAAAAATCTAAAAAACAACCGACAGAATGTCATTCTACTAGCACGAAATATATAGCAACCTCCAGATCTTGAATCTGCTCCAAACGCAGCTCTTCGAATTTAAACCTACGAACCACAATTCTCTCTCTTTCATCCTACAAGTAAATAAAGTAATATGATCACTACAATATGCGTTGATCCTTTTTAATTTGCTAAACAACAAAAAATGTGTATGCAGATTAGAGAATACCTTATTAGAGTCCTTGAGATTTAGCAAAGCTTGTGATTGGATATTAATATCTTGAACAGACATTATAGATTCTGGTTTTGAGCCCTTGGTTGAAACCGCTCTCTTGAACACAGAATTGAAACAATAACTCAATATATATTTCATAATCAAAATGGACAAAGTATAGCAGCAACATCATACCGAAGATACAGGTCTGCTTCCATGCTTCGATCCATAACCATTAGACTTTCCGATCTTTGAGCTTGTTTTTGCTGTTTGCCCAGTTGTGACGGGTTTTGAGGTGTCATATACTTCTGGAGAAAATAAATTACATAAGCTCATCAACCTCAAGAAGAAAAAAAATCCAACACAAACTAACTACATTTTGTAAAATCCAAAAACCATCTGTGAATCACACCTGGAAATGCACCATGTGACTTCAACCGTTCAAGAACAATTGCCAAAGCAGGTCCTTGGATATCTCGCACATTCTTCATGACCTACAGTGAACGAGAACATCAGATCAGGAAGGTTAAGAAAAAATAGAATACGAAAATAAAATATGATGACAGTTCCCGCACCACTTCTGGTCCGCACACTCTCACAATTTCTCCGAAGCATGCTTCTGCTGCTTTACGAACATCTACCGACTTATCCTGATGACAAAGAGAAATTACTTAATCATGCTTAGTGATGTCTCCAGGACTGAAAATTGTAAATTGACAAATGCATATAGTATTTCTAATCATCAAATACCGTCATAGCAACAGCGACCGGTCTCAGCAAATGAATCGCATCAGGGAACTCTGTTAATCCTGTAAGTTGTCTGGACAACCAATCAAAAAGGTCCTTGCGTCCTTCCGCACCAAGTTTAGCATCAGTCAATGAAGCAGTAATATATGGTACCTAAAAGAGAACCAAGGGTCAAGGTAATAACACAAATATATATATATATATATAGAGAGAGAGAGAGAGAGGGAGGGAGGGAGGTTCGGGGGAAGCCCCACAAAAAAATGAAAATTTGAGAAACATCCTGGTAAACAATCATCTGGACAGTATGCACATGTGCATACAAGTAACTGAAGTTGTTTCTTAGTTTCTATGCACGTCTGCATGTAATGCACATGTGCATACCGGACAAATTGCTTACAAAATTACTTGTATGCATATGAGGACACTGTCCGGATGAATGGTTATCAAGGTGTTCCTCAGTTTTTCATTTTTTTGCGGTTTTCCCCTGAACCTAACCCTATATATATATATATATATATATATATATATATATATAATATATACACACATATATATATATCCTATATATATACACATATATATATCCTATATATATACATATATATATATATATATATATCCTATATATATACACAACGAATAACATAAAGATAAGAAAAATATAGAAGACACTGACCATCTTATCAAGGTGAGTAGCAGCAACCCATGAATCCAAAGTTGCCAATGTGCATTCTCTCATGTGCTTTTTATTGTCACCAAGGCATTTAATAACATCAGATAAGATTCCCTGCAAGAAACATCATGGCATATAAAACTCGTTGCTTTATAAAGACCAGGCATGTTTTATAAACTAAGGCAGAGAACAAACAAATAATAGATAGACAGTCATGTTCAGTGGACCTTGCTTGACTTCTCAACTGCAGCTCCCATAGCAGATGCAAGACCACTTATAGAGGACAAAGTTGCCATGATTAAATTTTTGTTGCTGTCATACAACCGACCTCTAAGAGCCCCAAACAATTCCACTGAAAAAGTGAAACAACATAGTGAAAAGGATGTAATAAGTTCCATTTCATGCATGTATATATATATATATATCTTGTTTCAACAAATCAATGCAAACTATTATTACCAGTTCCAGTAGGCTGGATACGTTTGTTAGCTTCTTCCACGATTTTATTTACTGCTTCAATAGATTCCAAACGAATCTGAATACATTCATCAACAATTTCAAGATGATTCAAGTATGAACTGGACAAATGGGGATATAATTTTATTTAATAACTAATAAATAAAAGCATCACCTTCCAATCAGAACTCTCCAATCCTTTCAGAAGGGTTGGTGTTATCTTTCCACTAATATCCTCACGTGGCAAGCTATCCAACCCACCACCAGAAGCAGATGATAAAGAATCTAATGCCTTGACGGTCTTCTTTGGCACAGCAGCTGCACCCTGCAGAAGATGATACTTGAATGATGAACACCCAAAATGCAGAAACAATCAGAATCTAGAGACAGATATACACAATCATACCTCGAAAGGATTTTTTTCGCATTCTGCCTCTACTGCACTAAGAAGGGCAGGCTTGACATCCGACAGGAATGCTTTGATGTCTGCAGACAAAAATACATCAGTGGCAGCAATCCACTAACAAAGTCATGCACACAACAGCGCTAAGAACCTACCAGGACCAACATATTTGTGTAATGCACCAATAAGTTTAATGGTCGCATTTCTAGTAGCAGCTGCACTTGATTGTAAACCAGTATCTTTGCAGAAATCAATTACATCCTGTGTCAGAAAACATAAGCATCAAGAACGGAAGACTCAAGTATAATAGAGTAGCTATTTTGTCACATAAACAAACAGCTGTGCTAGCAGAAAAAAAGTCAAAGATTGAAAAAACCTTCAATTTCAGGTGTGTGACACCAAAGTCTTCAACTGCAGAGACCATCCACAATAGGCCCTCACTAAGAACCTTAGGATTCTTGTGCTCTTTCATGATCTTGAACATCTATAAAAATCAAGATCTTCAATTTCAGCCCAATTACAACATTATTTAACTCAAAAACATTAATTAGGACATTTCACTACACTTACTCTTTCAAAAACAAAACCTGGGCCCACCGCCTCAGAGAAAGTGGTTAGACATTTCATTGCTTGAGCTCGGGTCTTGATATCAGCCACCCTTTCACAAATACCTGTCAGCATGTAAATATAACCTTCAGATGTAAAACAAACTTAGAAGGCCATGTTCTTTTATAAGAACTCTGATTTAGTGCATGTGGCAAAGTATTTATCGCAAACTATGATATCAAAATGTAAGCCACACTAGCCCCTGCTGATGAGAAATATTTCTCACACTTACGATTCTATGAATGATTTGACAATTTGAAAACCAAAACAATAGTTGGTGAGTTAAGTTGCTAAGGAACCACTGGTTATAAGAGATTTCACCAAGAAGATAGATTCCCCAACTTGAAACAGAAAAAGAGGTTGCCAACCCAGGAACCAGCACAAGTTTTAATTTTGGTGAGTGAACGAGAAGATGAAAAATATCGACTTAAAAATGATATATGTCAACATTTCAATTCAATAATTCCTTGAAAGTACATATGTGAATATGTTATTAAACATGGAGACTGCCTTATTTCAGAATAACAATAAAGAACTGCATTTACAAATTCCACTAGATGATGTGTTATTCACATTTTCGCAAAAAAAAAAAACGAACAAATTGCGCAGATACGGTTCTGGAGTCTCAAGAATTACAGTGTCCAACACCTAAAAATTTGATTGAGATTAGAGAGGAAAGCTAACCAGATGCAAGTAAACCACACGAACCAAATCCAGTAAATCCGATACATAGTAGGTTCTCAAGAGGCTTGTAAAAAGGTTTCAAGAAAATGATTTTGAGAAGAAAAAGAAATGTTCTGAAAGTTCGACAAAAGTTTGACAGAAAAGCAAGAGATATGAAATATAAAGAAAGAAATGGGGTTTAGAATAGTTGAAGAAAAAGTAGTAAAAAGAAATAACAAAGCATGCAGGGACATCTAAATGCATAAAAGAAGGTACAAAATCACTAAATTAACTAAAGATTGCTGACCATCCTAGGGCTTTGCAAATTTATCAAGAAAGCCATCTTTAAATATGAATTATAAGATAGATAATTGATAGTGGAATGCAAAAAGAAACAGAAATAACAAAAACTTAAGAAAGTTCACACAAGAAGTCCTTTTTACCTCCTATGCAAAGTACAACACATTTTTTAGGGAACTTTGATGCAGTAGAAGCTATATTACTGACAACTTCGATGACCTGTTGCTGGACCTGCAAATTTTAACCCAAAACAACATATCATCAACTTAGCTAAATCAGAAGAAACGGCAAGCAGTGCCATATTTCAGCCAAGCTCCAAGTACCTGAACGTTTTTCTCACTCCAACCAGGAACAGCACAGAGTAGACGGATTAAAATCTCAACTGATGGGTTAAGTTCTTGGAGTGCTTCAACTTGTTCTTTTAATGAGGTAATTGCTGCAGGAAGAGAACATAAGTATCACTAGTTGTGATTTGGACGGAAACATATTGGTGAATGTTACACCCATAGATAAACATGAAACACATTTAAACCAACTTTATCATAATTAGTAACAAGAAAAAAGTCTATTCCATACGCCACTATTTAGGACTAAACTGAAAGTATTTGCATAAAAATTAATTTATGTTTATATAACAATTGCTAATATAATCCTTGTAAGGGTACATACGCCAACATCTGAAGATTTTGCGACTTCACATCATAAACAATGTATTGTTTAGCTTCATCTTAATATGAAAGTTGATGTGATATTATTATTCACAGTCTAGTGTTCATCATTATCGCTATGCGTTTAAAGTGGCTAATCTATTACTCAGATGTACCACAAACAATGCTTATTTATAGCTCTATCAAAAATCACCTAATACAGCCGTGAAAAATCGTCAATCATGTTTTAGTAAATTCAGGACCTCTCTCCTGACAGTTCCTGTCAACATGCCTATCAACAGTAATATGGATTTCTGAAAATTTGAAGTTTGGTTTCAGATAGATATTTGTTATGCTAACATGCATCATCCTTGTTCCATTCTTATGTATCATAATTACGAAGAAGAAGAAAATTAGAACCTTCAAGTCGCTCTTTCCATACGGCACTCTTCAACTGAGAAATAGTATCTTCTTGAATGAGAGATCCTAATCTGCTTTCAATCTCTTCAAGGGTCATCTCAGTTGGCTGCACAAGCAACAAGCAAGTCGTGTGACGTTGATTAAGAAGAAGACATAATGTTAGTCCAGAACTTCGGAGAGTTGGTTTCCATTAAGAATAGTAGTTATCATGAGAAGGGTAAGAAGAGATCTCCACCCTTGGATCAATCCTAATTGAAAATCAATTGAAAATACTCTTCTAAGCTAATTCATGGGTTATTTTGGGACTTAATTTGAAGCATTAGATCAACACTGATAAAAAGTGATCAATGGTCCAAATCCCTTCTTACACTTCTCACCTTAACTCTATTCTCAAATGATCCTTCGGCGAACTTCAGAAGCATAAATATCATCTGTGTATAAATATCTATGGGTGTGTGTACTTGTGCAAATAATTTACCTCAACATCTTCAACTTCAACAGGTTTTTTGGTTTGACCCGGTCCATCTACTTTCTTGCCAGCACCTGTCTTAGCAGAAACCACCTTCTTTGAAGCAGCCTTGAAAAGGGTAAAGAAAATTAAAAACATGGGATCAGTGCCAATAAGATATTTCAAAGATTAAAGAAAAAAAAATGAAAGCCAGAGTATGGGTAAAACTCACAGCAGCTGGAACGGGTTTCTTCCCACTAAGCATGCTTGCTGCTGACCTTCTAACAGAGGCTCCATCAGAAGCCTGCAAGTGTATGTCATGAAATATATTCTTAAATACAGCATACTCTTATATGAGATATATTCTTATTATCAAGACAGCACGCATGTTTCTATGGCAGCTATATGACCAAAAACAACTTCAAACACTTCAATTAACTTCTTTTAATCTAGAAAATACACAGCTCACATCTGTAAAGTTTTCCAGTTCAATTACATGTCATAGAAACCATTCACTTGGAAAACCGATTATGCAACAGAAAGGGTGCAACCACAAGCTTTCTAAAAAAGGTGTGAAGAATTATGCAATTTCATACCTTAGACATAACGATAATGCAATATAGACAACAGAAAGAACAAATGTTGATCACTCTATGTATCAGGTTTATGACAATTCTCTACTAATAGGTTCCTGATGGTTACCAAGCAAATGAGTTTAAAACCAACACACTGAAGATGATGAATATAACACCCAAATCAAAAACAGCTCCTGGTATTTACCATTTACATCTAATCAAAATAGTCTCTCATAATTTGTAGTTTTAATATCTTCTGCAAACCGTCTATGAGTGTTCAGCACATTTGAACAAATAAACTCAAGCAGTGAACCCCAAGGGCAAAAAAAAGAACATGTTAATGTGAGTGTATTGCTAAATAGTATTAATAATGCATAATATTAAAGAAAAGACCAAACAAACACACCTCAACAAAAGATCCCGTTCCACCTGATGATGGGACAACTGCAAAAAGAAAGAAAGTGTCACTCTTCCATGTACATGAGTGACTAGTTTAAAATAAAAATAGAACACAAATCTATAAACCTGAGCCTGCTACAGTTGAAGCACCACCTCCAGAAACACCAATCATTTCTGAGAGCTTCTTTCGCCTGACATCATCAAGTTTCTCCAATGACTTCTCCAAAGGCCTCATGCCAACCGACTAGAAAAAGAAAATAGATAAGTCATACTCGTATTATTTGCACCAACCAGACAAAGAACTATTATTAGTAACCAAAAAGAATGGACGGTACCTTCGCAATTGCTGCCAAGACTGAAAATGCAGCATCCCTCACTTCAGGTGTCCCATCATTCAGACACTAAAAAAAACGAAACAGTTTTTAATAATTCATTGGTGTAACCTTAGCAGTGAAAGTTGAGAACAAACGTCAAGAATTCAAGATAGTGCCATCAGAAAGAAAATAAATAACACTGAATTTTGCACCATAATGTTAAGATAGCATGCCCAAAAGGGCAAAAATTAAAGACCTGAAAAAAATCTTGTGAGAGAACTTTTCTGAAATCCATAAGAATGGAGAACATGTATAAATAACCATTTATAAATTATTTTACTTGAATAGAAGCTTGCTATTTAAGAACTTCTAGTTATAAGCTCATCCAAAAAAGGAGAAGATAACAAATTTTCTCTTAAAAATTATAGCAAAATAATTGGTCAAAAATCTATCTCAGAACCGCACTCAATACACTAACCTCCATGCAAATTGGAACGTAGTCCTTGTGCACTTTAAGAAGGATGGCCTTGTTGCTCGATTCAATGCAATATGTTACCCAATTCAATGTCAATGAACGCACAAGTGGAACTTTATTTTTCACGGCTGCTTTAACATCTGTTGTAGAACCATTTCAGCCAATATTAGGACACTGATAGAATCAGCGATTAAGAACAAAAGCCATAGATACAATAGATTCCTACATTTTACAATAAAAGAACGACGAAATATACACAAATATAACTCTTACCAATAGAAATTAGAAACAGAAATAAGAATAAAATCACAGATTGCCAATTTGCAGACAGGGTGGTATGTCTTACGTACAACAACAGAACAAAGTCTTCATGACAGCAACAAAAACATTCATCTTAAACAAGTTAAGACAACAATGGCAGACTGCTTTATACACATAAACTTACAACAACGAGAAGTGGCAGATATGATTTGATCGAGCAGATTCTCCCCTTAAAAAATTCAAATTAATAAGCATAAAACCCTACCTTCAACAATATCAGCAAGAGTCACGCATCCAGCCTTGTGAATTGCTTGGAGAGTCTGACTAAGCGCTTCCGTCATAGTAGGCTTTTTCTCTTTTAGTTTTTCCTATAAGAAACAGAACTTGTTATGTAACAGATGCAGATATCCCATCACATTCTCAAATAAGTCCTTAGAACACTATATTTCATAATCAGATCCTGTCTAGTTGGTATATTATATATAACTAAAAAGTGTACTGGTTAGAGGACCAAAGCATATGTTGGCAAATATTACACATATAAGCATATCATTCCCGTGCCAAATTAAAAGAAACCCAACCACTTGACTGAACAATAAGTCACTGATCTCAACACAAGTTAGATGACACTACAAGTAGCATCTGAAAATGTAAAACAAGATATGATGTACACTTACAATTAAAACGGGAAGCAAGAAGCGTGAACTTGCAGAGAAATGAGTTCTTAAGCCCCGTGCAAGATTCCCAATGGCTTGAACTGCTTCTACTGCAACAGCAATATTTACGTCCGTAATAAGCTGCAAAGAGGAGCAATTGCAGAATGCAAGTAGTTAAAATCACTTCCCATAGAAGCAAAAAAACACGGATTTAGATGATTTCACATTTCTAAACACTTACGGTAAGGTGATACAAAGGATGAATCGCCTTCATTTTAAGTTTAGCCACTTAGGCTACCTAAACTTTGGTTGACTAGCAAACAACTAATGCACACAAGGTCTTGAATTCCAAACCACGTTAACAACTATATTTCATAAATTTCTGCTAAGAAGCACAATCCAATTTAACTATACAAGAGTCAAACAACTTTTTGCAGTACGCAACAGTGATACAAAACCTATATCAATGGACTTAATGACACCATGCCATATTAGTCAGAATAACCTTATAACCTGAAAATGAGCATGCAACAGGACATTGACAATGTCATGAAACAACACTGCAATGTACCAATAGGATGCTTACATACAGAAATGAAGTATAAACCAACAAATTTCAATTTTTAAGGTAAATTTTCTTGTCATTAAGATAATATGCCAGTCTTTAGTTTCTATTCCCAGCCTTCATGTCTTCAAAAAAAAAGCTCGGTATCGATGCACATGATACTAGGGGCTACAAGGAGGGCTTTCTCTGTCTTCCTAATAAACAGTCACAAAATAGCTCAGTCGAAAGATAGTTCATTTGAGGACCTTCTTTAGTGTACGGCATATTTCTGTAAAATCTCCAGGAGCAATCCTCTTTGTTGAAGCAAGCTTAGTCAATTCTGCAACAGCATCTTTCCGCTCAGACCACTTAGTAGCTTTCTGGAAAGAGAAAGTACTGTAAATATGCTAGCTGTACAAATGGGAATTGACAAAAGACAAAGCATGGGTACAAATTTTCATAAAACAGAGAGGAGCACTGACCACTCCGTTCCAAAACCCTGACTTCTCCAACGGTGTTAAGATATCAACAGGGTCAACGAGTTCATATTCATCTATTTCCTGTGGAACTGGCACACAATTTTATATCAGAAGAGAATACAAGCATAAATGAAAATACAAATCAAGCATACAGGTCATGATCTTAGTATATACTTCATCCATACATAGAAACTGTCTTCTCTATGTGTTCCCATCAAAATGTCCAGCTCCAAGAATTGAGCCTCGTAAATGTGGTTTTACCACCATTACCTTTTGCAACATGTACTAAAAACTAGCCTCAAGAGTCATCATGTATTTCTCATCATTGTTCCTTGCGTTACTCTTAGAAATTCATCCACTATGTAACTTACACATTGACCATTTATACATGTTTTAAACCCTTCTCCATTAATACTTTGTAATGAAATGAATTAATATTTTCATGATTTCATCAAGGAAAACATGGAAGAGATTGTTTAAGCTGAAGGAGGAGCTCCCAGATATCTGTGCCAAAAACTCGTGAAATACGGGGTAGATGTAGTTTCTATAGAAATATTGCAAGTAGCCATAGCATTTTTCACGCAGAATCCAGTTCAACTAGGGGCTATGCTGTTAAAATCGCGATATATCGGATATCGGACTCTGGAAAAATATCGGTGGTGAAATATCAGTCAAAATATCAGTTATATTTTGATGGAAAATCGGTCCGATATACCAATTTTCTATAAGACAAATGTTTGGGCTTTTTTATTACATGTTGGGCTTAGTTTTTTGGGCCTCTTTATTTGGTCAACCAGTCAACACATATATTAAGTCTCACGCTTCTTCTCTTCTCAGTTCTTCACAGTTCATGCTTCTTCTCTTCTCGGTTCTTTCACAGTTCACGCTTATTGTTTGCGATTAGCTCGTTTATGAACATTTTTCCTATTTTGTTTTGTGAGACTTGTTTATGGGAAACAATATTTTTGATTATTTATTCATTCGAATTTTTCGCCTATTTCTGAAGAGGGCTATATTGCTCCTTTTTTTATTTAGTAGTATTTACCTTACATAGGTTATTCATCAGCACTGGTTTAGCTTACGATGTGTTTGGAAGCCCTCGGCCAAAAATCTGTAGATCGAATTTGACTAACTGATTCATTAATTATCTGATTGCTGATTATAGAATATGATGTTTTAGTTTTTGAACTATATTTCTAAACTCTAATTAATGCATATGATATGTTTATGGATGCATACATATAATATATATATATATATATAATTCTAAGAAATATTATATTAACCGCTATTTTGGACCAATATATCTCCGATATATCATCGATATAACCGAAATATCGAATATCGGTCCTGACCGATATTTTGTATTTTGACCGCAGTAGCAGCATAGACTAGGGGCAAACTTCAACGCTCACTGCAGCACATATTTCTAGTCTATCCTAGACATTTCACCTCATTCAAAAGAATGACTAGCCAATGCGATTACACATCCATTATATATACGATAAAAAAATAACCAGAAGAGTGAAGAAATATAGCAATTCCTTTAAGTTGATCACATACCATCGGCAGCAGATTCTTCAGAAGGGCCAGAGCCCACAGCCTCAGCTGCAACTTCCTGTTCTGGTTCCTTATCTTGCTCGGATCTGGCAAAAATTGGAAAACATATTTATAACTATTATTGTCATCTTCATTAAAAATTAAATAAATTACTGATAAGAAAGCAAGTACAAGATGCAGAAACCAACAATACAAGTCTACTACATAAACAGTTGGAGGCTTACATGTTTAAAACAGCTGATGGTCAGAATTATATCAAAAATAAGGAATACATAAAAGACCTACTGAAGATGGTTTAACTTGTATACATGGTTTTAAAAAACGGTTGAGGTGTGCGCCTTGAGGAACGCCAAGAAAAGTTCTTGAGGCATCGCCTCTCACTCCTTGTTTGGGACGCACGCCCTGCAGAGTGGAGGCGGTGGATTTGGCTGTGAGGTGATAAGTGTGTGAGAGGCGTAAGCCTGTTTAAAGATGAGTTGAAGTGTTTTTATACATAGTGTGCAAGTCTTTATTAGTGGTAGTGTCAGACCAGATGGCGTATTCTCTCCCAGTCTCAGTTTCTGTATTTGTTGTTAGTGGTAGTGGCAGAAAAAAGTATCCCCCTTTGAAAAACATTATATATATTATGACTTACTTATCCGACTCCCTCACAGTCCCACCGGTGGTAGTGGCAGCTCAGCATAATATATATCTGTGTGTATATATAGTTCGGTGGTAATGGCAGCAGCTCAGCATAATATATATGTGTAATAGTCCGGTGGTAGTGGCAGCCTAGCATAGTGCATGATGGTGGTGCCAAGGTATGTCATATTCGCTCTTTCTCTCTCTCTCTTTCACAGGTCCACCAGTGATAGTGGCAACCCAACATGGTATATAAATATGTTGTATGATCACGCTGAAAGTAGTGGCAGCCTCTAGCAGAGTGTGTGTATATATAGTGCACGGTGGTAGTGTCAATATATATATATATATATATATATATTGTGTGTGTATATAGTGGTTATGTATTAACGTCTAGTGATTGTAATTTGTGTATATATAATAATTTGAATTTTATTTATTTTCCGCCTCGAGCTTACGCCTCAGACCGCCTTGAGGCTCACGCACCTAAGGGGAAAACGCCTTGAGGCTCGTTTCCATTCTTTAAAACCTTGCTTGTATATGTACGGGTCTGAAGAACTCTCATCCTCCCAGAATCACCACACTCCTATGCCATTAATAACCCTTCATAATTCTCTTAAATAGTCTGAATTTTCTGAAGTGATATTACTTGTCTTCTCTCCGTCCCATGAAAATTGCAAGGTTTGACTTGGCACAAAATTCACTAAATGCGTTCTGAATATTAGTCAAATGTATAATACTCTTTCAATAATGGCAAGAAGAAGTTTATAAACCAAAAACAATAGACTAAATAAATTGCAGTAATAAGAATCGGAAATCAATCTATGTAGCAGCCAGTTCTCGTGTAGTCTAACATCAGATCCATATAATAGGGAAAGGATATTGTGTTATGAGAATGCCAACTGAATAACAATTAACAAGTGGCACTTAGCTGCTCAAACCACAGCATATTAGCCAGGCGTTCCCAAAAGAAGACGAAAAATGAAGAATTACCCCATTCAGAAGCTAAACTCTGTGTTCATGTGTGCAATGATATTGACACAACAGATACAACAATACTAACAAAAAGAAAATCAAATATACTAACTTTGGGACGGTAATCAGTTTTCCACCCTACATCTCTGAAGATGTAATCAACAATCAATGAACTTAAAGAATCTTATTTATTATCTTTAGTTTACATATAAACGTGAACTCTATGTGCCTTTCTGGTGTAAGAAGAAACAAACCTTATTTTCCGAGTAGGCTTAGCAGTCCCAGTGACATTCGCGAGCTCAGCCTCCAGCTCTTTTTTCTTAGAAAAAGAAAAAAGGCAAATATTAGTCTTCTCAAAACTCAAACAATCAGTGGAAGCAATAATAATTTATCACCATACCATTGTATCCCGCATTTTCTCAAATAGTATCGATTTAACGGGTTCTCTCCCAATCCAACGACAGAGCTCAAGTGTTAGGCCTTTAGATGAAGCACGAACATTCTGATCTTGATGATCGAAGAGTTCCGGAAGCATCTTTAATATTCTCTTTGGTGGCACAATCTTTGAACCAAATTCACTGGTTATTGGAAAGAAGACCTCATATTATAAAAGGCAAATAGATAAGCGTAGATATCCAAGTACTAAAACCAAGTAACTCAATTGCAAACCTTAAGGCTTGAAACATGACATCAATGGCAGGAACAACAGCTTTAGCAACTTTGTTTTTTATTGCTTTCTCCATAGCATCCTATCAACAAACAATTTAATAAGAAAAATGACAACATTTACAAAACAATCACAGCTATATAAACAAAATGACACTAGAAAAACGATGCACATGGCAAACGAGTTTACCATCTAGAAAAAAAATAACATGGCAATCATGTACTAAAATACTCTCTTTGCATGATCAACATTGTAACATAGTGCAGAATTCATATGTCCCACGAAAAGAAGTTTCCATGATCACATAATCTGACACTACACATCCAAATTGTTATATTTACATTAATAAAACAAGCATATGGTCATTCAACATTCTCTGCAAAGTAAATTGTAACTATTCTCCCAAACTAAAGTTGTGAAAGTGGAAGGGCCACACGTATTAAACTCTTGTAAGATAAGCACCCCTTATTTGCAATCCATACGTTGATAAAAACTTCCTTCAAAATGGAATAAACCTTAAAAAAAAGGGTGTGAAATAAATATGCATACACACACACACACATATATATATATATATAAGAAAGGATATGATATATGCTAACCTTCTGGGAACTCTAAGATGCTATTATTGTAAAAAATAATACTCGAGATGACACTCAATCTCAATATAAAGCTTAATGTTGTAGAACATTACGATTTACAGCACAAAGTGTAGGTTCATTTAGCATTTGGCTAATAATTTCATGCTACAATCAAACATACTTTTAAAGATTCCAAAGCCAGAGTTAGCATTTTAATGGCAATCACAAAATATTTATGAGATTTATGCCATTCTCCATTCTGGTACCAACTATCTAATGCCTCCTGGGAGATGCGCTGCTCATTTAAAGAACACCCTTAGATAGACAAATTTCTCAATAGAACAGTTGATACTGCACGCTTTCTTGAAACTAGATGAACAGGTGAAAATCTAAAGAAATAGAGAATGTAGGTTTAACTGTTTAAGTTATGGTATTCATAAAAAGATATGACTACGAGCCGGCAGGTGTTATAATAGACAAGAGTCCAGAAAATAATGCAGATGAAATTAGAAGACTAGAAAATAGAACCATATCAACCACACTAGTGCTTGTGTATGTAGTTATGAATGCCATTAGTGCATATGTCCCTCATGAACTTGAGTGAATTTTGGGACAACATTAAATAAGTCATTTGAGGCATACAATTAGCAAGAAGCTCTCTGTACGAGGTGATCTTAATGGTCATGTGGTATAGATGATATGCATTTCAAAAAGTCATCAGGTTTGTACATATCATAACAAAATCAAGGAGAATAAATGTTACAGTTTGAAAAGTTAATGATTTGTTGGTTGTAACAACTTCCTTTAGAAAGTATCATTGTCACCTAACAACCTTTAGTAGTGGTCAAAAATCTAGTCACATAGACTTTGCCTTTACTAGGAAGGGTGTGGTATGGCATGCAGAAATTATAAATTCATGCCTCGGAAGTGTGTCATGACACAGCATGAAACTGAATTGGATGCAACAAGCTTTAGGAGTATTGTGTATGCATACCATTGCAGCTAAAAGGTAAGTTCTATAAGACAGAGGTAAGTCGTGCTATGATTTATGAAGGGGAATTCTCAATCACAACTATACAAACATGTGCACAAGATGCATATAGCAAAGATACAAGTGTTGAGATGGATGTGTAGCAATACACCAAGGGATAGTTAGAACTAGAGATATATAAAAGACGGTTGAAGTGGCAGTTGTAGAGAAGTTGAACCAGCGTCCTTTGAGGTGGTTCAATCATGTCCATTGTAGACCTTGGATCTAAATGTGCATGAGAGAAATGTGTAACATGGAGAGGTTGTTAGAAGAGGTATAGGTCAACCAAGATTAGCAGGGTGAAAGTAGTGAATTAGAAGAGCGGTTTATACTGAAAGAATCGGCCTCGTATAAGAATACATGGAATGATGCCCTTTCTATCCCATAACCCCTTGGGGTTCACTTTCTCACTTTTGTCAGATTGAACCTTCTACAATTTTATTGGTTTTACTTTTACCCTAGCCTAACTGGTTTAGGATAAAAAGTTTGTTCTTGTTTGATGCTATGCAGTCAAAATCATTTTACATTCTAATAAAGACAATTTATAAAGTATTTGTCATTATTAGACGTTTCCTGTTGTAATACTTTTATATCACACTTCCATAACAAATTCTTGCACAAAACTTGACCCACCGAAGAAGTTGTATTGAAATACAGAAGCAATAAAGTAGGCTTTCATCACTAATCGTTAGAGAGTAAAGCTATATCTAACGACTAACATGATGGCCAACCAGCAGCTCCTAAGCTAAACTTCAAATTCAAATATGCAATATCTCTACATCAAACATACCAGGAATACATCCACAGCCTCCAACTCCACCCAAAGCATAAACACCATTTGTGCCTTCTCCACCGTCTTCGGCCGCCCTGTAAGGCATTTTGCCACGATTGCATCGCAAATTTCCTTGGCAAACCTGCACCAATACATAAGATCATCTTCAAGCACAATGCATTTCAATATGCCCACACATTAGTTCAGAGTTAATAGTGCTTCATCCATTTTGCAATTAGAGTCTGCATTCTAAGTTCAGGAATGAAAAACCAATCTCTCTTTTTAAATGCAAAGTTGATACCAACTCTTTCTATTTGTTGTACCCCTTACCATGAACTAATGCGATCATCAAAAACTTGAAGAAAAACTAAATAAACTAATTGAAATTAAAGTTCAGATCTAGTCAGCTTGACTCTCTAAGGTATAGACTACATAATTTCAATTTAGTCATAGAACTTTCTGATAATGTTGTGTCAATTCATATCACTTAATGTGAGCTTAGCCCGTCTGATCCTCCAACAAAGAAATTTAGAAGAGGGAGAGCAACGCTAGGAAACACTAGTGGAAATGGTACACATATAGAATCAAAATGTAAGTTCTCACTCTGTCTTTAAAAAGGATGAGGCTAAACATCTAGAACGAACTCTTAACAAAAAAAAATAACGATTTTACACTTGATACAAACACAAACTAACGAAATGACTCTTCAAAGAAGAATTGGTAATTTAGAAACATCAATTTTATCTTGGTGGTAACCGTCAGGCACTCTTCCTTGGGAATACAATTAATCAAAATCACAAACAGAAACAAATTGGTAACCTTCCAGCATCAGCATCTGCAGCTTTTAAGTAGGCAATTAGAGCATCGAGAGCCTTATCTTGAACAGGCGCATTCGAATCAGAAACCGTCTTCTTGAAAAAATGTCCTGATCAAACCCCAGCAAAAAAATCAACAAAAAAACCAATATTCAACACACATTACACGGATCGAGGCTAAAAACAAACGAACTTAGATCTACAAGAACCAAAAAGTGGAAAAAAAAATTCACAAAAAGAAAAAACATATACACAAAAAACCCTAAAAAGGAAACGAAAGTGACTAACCGAATTCACGGATGCGAGGATCTTTAGGATCGGTAATAGAGTCGCAGAGGGCGGCAAGGTCAATGTTGGCATCGTTACGAACCTTCCAGTTCTTATGTAACAAGCGATCCTCCCATGGCAACTTCTTGGCCTCCTTCAACAACTTATCATCCTCCGACATTATTCAAACAAATATATATAAATATATACAGAAAAAGACGATGAAATCGAAGTCTGTAACTTGTTGGGTTTGTGGCAAGTGGGTGTGAGAAAGATGAAGAAACGTTTTGTTCCCCCAATTTTGAAAAAGAAGAAGGAGAGAAAGAGGGAGATTTGGGGGAATGGATGAAATTTTGAGTTTTTACGGCTTAATTTTGACGGAGATGGGAAAGGGATGATGACGGTGTGACCTGCCGTCCCTCGGGTCTAGATTTGGAAATCTCAACACAACATACCCCCACACTATCATTTCTTTTACCATTAAAACAAAAGAGTAAACTATTATCTTGGTTCTTTATGGCCATGTATGAAATTGGTCAATTTTTAGGTGTTTTCGGTATATGGGACAGTATAATTTTACTGTTAAAGATGTAAAATAGTATTAGACAAAGACTTCGGGGACGTTTGGTTCGTATTAATGGTGGTTGGCGGTGGTTCAGATCGATTATGGTCGGAAGTGTTTCAAGTTGGCGATGGTGATCGGCAGTAGTTCAGATCGATAGTGGTCGGTGATGGTTTAGATAGGCGGTGATCGATGGTGGTTCAGATTGGCGGTGGTTCAGGTCAAGGTGGTTCAGATCAATGGTGGTCGACGGTGGTTCAAGTTGGCAGTGGTTCAAGTCGGTGTTCGTCGAGTGGTGGTCGACATAGGTTGCAGTGGTTCAGATCAGCTGTGGTCAACAATGGTTCAGATCGGTGGTGGTCGGCAATAGTTCAAATCAAGTAGGGAAAATGGGGATACTTTTGTCCTTTTGAGAAAATAGGATTGAATTCCTTCTTAATTGTGATGGAATGACCAAATCCATGAATGGTAGAAAGTATGAAATTCAATTCAATTCCATTCCATATGTAAAACAAATGACTGAACAAAATTTGGTCAATGGAATTGACCATTTCAATTCTTTCGAATTCCTTCAGAATTTTACAAATCAAACGCTCCATTAGGGGGTCTTTAACTGTGACGACGAAGGTGGTGGGATAGTGGCCGGGTGGCTAGGAGTGTGTGTATGACGACGACGGTAGTAGTATGGTGGTCAATGGTCGGTTAGGTAGGATGGGTGGAGGTGAGTGGCAATTGTGACGGCGATAATAATGGTGTGGTGGCGAGGGTTAGGTTAGGGACGTGACAATAACGGTAGTAGTATGGTCATAGTAGGGATATGCAGTAAGTGACCAGGGGTGGGTGGTGATGAGAATAGTAGTAGCATGGTGGTTAGTGGAGGGATAGGTTGGGTGGCGGCGATAGTAATGTGTGGTGGGTGATAATGGAATTCAATCCCTTCTATCATGCCAATGAATGATAAATTCATTAATTTGTGGAATTCAATAGAATTTGAATGATTTCATCAATTTCAATAAATGAATCAAACAAATGAATTGGAATTTGGTCAAAAGAATTTATCAGTCCAATTCCATCAAATTTATTTGAATTGCGCGAACCAAACAGCCCCTTTTATTTGAATAGCACAGGACAAGGTGGGATAACATGAGACAAAAGGTTTTTTTTTTTTTTCTTCTTGTTACACCAAAATAAATGGAACAAGGTGAGATAAGGATAAGATAGGAACTAAAATAATTACTAATCTATTCGTGCTTTGATATATATGTATACACACACATTATATGGTAAGCGTTCATCCGGACCGTATGTGCATGTACAAATAAGTAATTGTATACTAAATAAATTGCTTACAAATTACTTGTATGCATATGTGCATATGGTTCAAATGAACAGTTATCAGAGTGTTCATCGGTTTTTATTATTTTGAGGTCCCTTCAACCTAACCCTACACACACATATGTATATACAGAAGCATAATCAAATGAGAACTGTGTAATTTGTCATAAACGTGAGATCGAATGTGAACCACTCATTTGAGATATTTAATAATACTTCTTAAATAAGGTAAAAAGGTAATTTATCTACAACTTATCAAAGATTTATTTACCTTTTTTTTAAAGAAAATATTTAAATTAATTTTAATTACTCAATATATATATATATATATATATATTTTAAATGTTTGTGGATCAGAGTGTATCACGATGATAATGTTCACAATGTATTTTCATTGTTTTATAGAGTATATCACATTATACATTTTCGTTATTTCTTAGATTTACAAAGGGTATCACAATGTGTATTTTTGTGCAGTTGTTTTACAAATGTATCACACTGTGCATTTTATATGTATATATGAGTATCATAGAGAATATTGTTTGTATGTATCTTTTTTTAACGGTATTTTTTAGGTATCACAATGTGTATATTGCGTTCACATAATGTTTGCTGAAATAAGATTTGTGAGAAAAAGTTCGTCGGAGAGAGAATAAAATGCCCTTAATTAAAAATTTAAGTTAAAATTACCAAAATTATTAATTTCTCAATTTAACTTTTGATTTGTGGTTGAGATTTAATCTCACGGTTATCACAAATTATTGATTTCTCCCTTAAAAGGCAATGTTATTTTTGTAATATTTTTGGGATTTGAAACTATTTATTTGATAAATGACAAGTTGAAAGGAGTATTATAGGCATTTGACATCCAATCTACAGTCAACAATGACAACCGTCAAAATTATATTAATTATAATAAAAAATTTAAATTAAAATATATTAGTTACAATAAATTTATATAAAAACAAAACGAACGTTTTATCTTTTTTAGTTGATACGGGTATCATTATTTTTTTTTAATTTTTAAATAATTGCAAATTATGAAATAATGAAAAATATTTAATTTGTATGTTATTTCACCTTGTGAAACAACACTTTAGTATTTCACATCAAATTTCTCGTCATTTTTTTGTTTTTTTCCACATAATGAAACAACACAACATTGTTTCACCATGTGAAACAATACTCTAGCGTTTCACATCCCATTCTTGCCGTGTGATTCTTACCGTTCTATTTCTACCCCGCATCTTGATTTATTTCTATGTGATTCTTACTGTTCGATTTTTACCCCGCATCTTGATTTCTTTCTGTTTTATTCTTTCTCCGATTCTTGTTGTCCGATGTTTGTTCACTCTCCTCTCTTCTCTCTTGTGATTTTGTTTATGGTGTTGAATGGAAGCAAGTAGTTAACAACTTAACACGGTATTAATGTTAATGGAAGTAATTGGTTAACAACTCAATTTTTAGTATGTGTGAGCTGGAAGTAAGTGGTTAACAACTATTCTTTTTGCATTCGTTTGATCGTGCTTTAGGTTTCATGTTCTTTGTGTTGTTATGAAAGTCAATTAAAACCACAAGGGTGGTGCCTGATTGGTTTGAACTCGACTCCAAAGGTCAAAAGTACCGAAGGTCACATGTTCAAATCCAGTGAGTAATAAAAACCCCCTTGTGGCCACAGAGGTTCAAATGCGGTGACTCCAGACTATTTGCAAAGCAGGTGGTCGCTCTGGGATTAGTCGGCTCGCATAGCGGGTTGGATATCCAGGTTAATAAAAAAAGTCAATTAAAACATATACCGGTAGGTTCATCACTTGGTTTTTTTTTTTTTTGGTTCGTAACAGGGAGAATGACAAAGTTCAACTATTATAATGGGTATTTCTAATTTATCCAAATGGGTTCAATCTATATGCAGTGGCCATTTGATATATGGCCTATCATGGATATTTCTTATTTATCTGTTTTAAGATGACTTCTTTTTTGTGTAGTTCAATTGTTTTAACCTGGTTGTATAAAATACAGCAGTCATCTTTCGTGTTCCAGATCTGATTTTCTTTGAACGTAGGGCTACTGATTTTCTTTGAACATGAAGTTGTTTACCTGAAGCATCATCATGGGTTGCTCTGAAGGGTTTTCAAGACTTAGTTAAGCAAATGTAGGAGGGTGGCGAATTCAAAATTTTATAGTTATGTAACTTTTGTTTGCTTTCTCGTTATAGCTTTTTCATTGGCTTATTGACAGATGTTTGGATTATTGATTTCATGACAGATATTGTTTATACTTCTCAAAAGAGTTGATGTATCTATTATCAGATTTTACAAAGAATCATTTCGGCTTTTTGGTTGTAACAACTTACAAACAGCAAGTGGTATAAGCATACCTAAAGTTTGGTTGTATTTTCCAAATGTTCGTGTGGTCTCAATGTTGTGGTATCTGGTTCTTGGTCTTTATTTGATCCCTTGCTCCTAATAGGGACAAGGACAACGAGCCCTTTCCTGAAGAATGAAATCATGATCCATTAGTCAGTGGAACTAATGGATCCAATCACAACATACATTTGGATTGTAAGTCTAATCAGATCATTAGCCGATCTGCTTTAGATTTAAATCCAATCAATTGACAAGCTCAATGAGATACACAGTTCACTTCCATCTTGAACGTTATGTATACATGCAAGCAATAAAAATCCATTTTAATGGTTAGTAGTCACTGTATGATTATACTGATTCCTGTTACTGTAATTATGTATATAAAACATTCTTGATATTTTAAGCAAATGCCAAAATAACAGTTTAAGCATTTACGAGCTAAACACCCTAAACTTGTTGGTCTAGTTATCATCTGAAACGTAATCCAATTCCTGAACAAGGCAAACATGTACCTCACTTCGTATATGTTGGGAATTTCCTTAAGCCGACACACAAATACTATCAATATGTATGTAAACTACCCAACAATAAATGCATAAACGAATCGAATCCTATATGCGTTTGAATGTCTCAAATATATGGCAATACAGAACAATAACCACCAAACAACATAAACCCTTTGGGGGTATCTCAACCAATAAGACCTTGGTTTTGCTTCTCCCCTAGGGCCACTACAGGCTTTTCTACTATTAACTTCAGGGCCCATTAGATCAGTAGAGGTGCAGACAAGCTGGCCTGGACACCACAGTTATTAACAAAACGTAAATGCAATGAAAACAAATAAAGAACAAGATGAGGCTAATCGCTTCACCATTGTTGTGATAATGAAAATCACATAGCGACAACGAACTATATATATTGATAATCAACATAAGGAATTACAAGAAATATTACCTTAACAATAATCCACATGTAGATCTACAAATGAGCACCAATATAACTCTTGGGTTCTTATGGTAGCGTTTGATACACATATATGACTGGATTAAACAGAACCGAACAAGAATCTTCAAAACTATCAAAAAATGGAAGGGATTTGTGCAGCCAAATGCATCAATTATCAAATATTGATGCAAAAAGTTGATTTTTATACACAAGTGTCCAAAAGTTATGTACTATGGGACACAATACAGCCTAATGTAACACATTGCTCGGTCACAAAGCTCTCATGATCACGAGCCTCAAAAGGCTCGATATTGTGCTACAAGCATGCGTTCTCTCTTCTATATATACATGTTAACCAAAATTCTTGTTATTTATAGAGTACTACTACCTGCTAATTAATGTCGGTCTGTATTTGGCGTGCAAGCTCTTTTGTTAAGTTTTCAGCACGATCATCGTGTCCGCCTGCAAAGGAATAGACCCGAAACGCAAACTGAAATGCCTTCCAAAGGATTTTCCCTGAATTCATCTTCTTGCCATTTGTTTTGGAGCTTGTCTCTCTTTTTTCCTATTCGAAGACAAGAACCCGTTGCCAGGTTCAAAGTTAGACATGAAGCGGAGTACGATCGTATATCCATAATGCAACATATCACACTCACACACACGTATATAGATCTATATATGGAAGGTCCAAGGGAAAACCGCAAAAAACGAAAAACTTAGGAACACCTTAGTAGTCATTCATCTGTAGCTATGCACATGTGCATGCAAATATAAGTAATTTTCCGGTATCCACATATGCATAACATGCACACGTGCATAAAAACCAGGAAACATCTTCAATTACTTGCATGCACATGTGCATACCGTACAAATGAACGGTTATTAGGTTGTTCCTCAGTTTTTCAGTTTTTAGGGGGTTTTCCCTGAACCTTCCTCCCTCTCTCTCTACACACACACACACACACACACATATATATATATATATATATATATATATATTAGTTCTTATTGGACAAAACCAAACCAAACCCATAATATCCTAGTTGAAAGTAGGGTCTAGGAAGGGTGGAATGTATACAGACCTATCCTCAACTCCAAAGAGTAAAGCAATTATTTCCATGAAGACCCTTGGCTTGTGCAGAAGGGTGAGCAAAAAGGAAAGAAGAACAAAAACTAGTAGATATAAAGCAATATAAAGAGAAAAAAAGTACTCCTTCATCCCTTAAGAAATGTCCACAATGAAACACAGTTTTAGAAATGCATAATTCTTACACTTTTTAATTAACTAGGGGGCATTTTTACCCTCAATAATAGAGATAAATATTATCCGTCTCATAATTAAGGGTAGAATGGGAAACTAGACGATTACTTCTGAAAGTAGACACTTTGGAATAAACTAAAATAGAAATGTCAACACTTATTTTGGGCCGTAAGTAATAAAAAGTGGCAACAAAAATAAACATAGTAAAGGTAACGAAAAGCATACAACCCTCAATCTATCGTATCAGATACAAACTCGGATACTATGCCTATATGATATTTGGATGGTTTAACAAGAAAAACCATATTGTGTAATGAACAATGTATATGATTTCCTGTTGATTGTCAAAAACCTACTTTAAACTAATTAAATATCACATCCTTATTTTTTAAATTATATTCATTGTTTAAGTTAAAAATATTAATTAATTATTAATATACTTCACAAAAAATCCATGTATTAGATATTTTCAGGTGCGTATATACAATCATAGGAATTAGGATTACTTTTCAAATTTCAAAGCTAAGCTAACTCGTCACAAAACTAAAACCAACATATTTCTCTATATAATTTTTATCATAGAATCTAGTATCTTTATAATTTCATTCCATATGCGTTTGATAAGCAGATGGGACTCGACAGGACTTTGGACGGCAAGAGTGAGGTAGGTGGTGAAAGAATTGTGGAAGGTTTTACGGTTTTAATTTGATATGAGTAGTTTATTTAGTAATTTACCAATTTTGTCTAATCTCCTTAAATTTTTGTTCCACCTATTTTGGTGGGACAAAAAAATGTCCCACTAAGTCCTGTCATGTCCCATTTAATGTCGTACAAAACGGGGAACAAGCTTATGTTTTGTCCTGTCTCGCTTACCAAAGGCACCCTAAATCTCAAAGAAATAAGATCAATATTGGAACTGAAATTTAGTCAATTTGACCCCCAAATACTGAAATCTTTCCCTTATTTTTCATTTATGTTAAAGCTAGTTTACAGAAATACCTTTAGTGCCAATTCCATGCAGCTTGAGGAAACATCCACCATCAGTTCTTTAATTCTGATAAGTATGCCAAAATCGAAATGGATCTTTTGACTTTTGAATTTCTTGATTTCATCATCCTTTGTTCGATCTAGTGTGTCCACTTCTCCTTTGATCTTCATGTGAAATTGCTCATCTGTTAGTGGTGGAAATGGAACATGGTTTGAGAATATGATGTTGATGATGATAAGCCTAGATGTTACCTTATTGAAGTAATTCTCAACTTGATCAAGGAGTCGGTTCACCGGAGGCTCTATCTTCCAGTTTTGCAAAGTATTGGCCATCGTATCTAGCTTCGAGTATAGTGCTGCGGCCATCCTCAATCCTTCCAACTTCTTAGTAGGAAAATCTTCAAATCTTGCCAGAACCTACTAATTTTAAGTGTTTAGAACAGGATCATCAACCATAGGTACGGAAAATTTCAACCAATGTAAAAAAAATCTAACCCAACTGAGCCGGTTGAACCTCTACCCTGTAATAAGATTATTTGGTGCCAATCCTAGATACCAAAATTAGAAAAACCAATATGAACCAAATGACTGAGAGGCTCGAGCATTCAACCCGGTGACCCACAGAGAAGACATGTTGGCCAGGGGGGGACCCACAGGGATAGATATGGTGGCATGGGCCACCGCTTCATGGTTCTGTCATAAAGTAAAAAAATTACGTTTCTGAAGGGTAACAATGTATTGTTTGTTGGATCCCACCATATAGTTTTTGGAACTAAAATGTTAATTAAGACTTTAATAGCTAAGATGGTAAATACTCCTGCCTTTATATAAAAGACCCAGGTTCGAGTCTCACAGTTGTCAAATTTGTTGTTTTTTAGCTTAAATTTTTGGTGTTTTTTATATACCTCTTCTTATGTTTTTAAAAATATATGTAGATCGGACTTGAACATGGGTCTTTTCTATGTAAGGACAAGGAACAAACCAACAGATCTATACTAATATTATGGAAAAAAATAGATATTTTTTTATAGTCAAATTAAGCCACCACTTGAAAATTTCCCCAGGGTCGCCTTTGTTGTTGGCTCACCTAACCAAACCAAACGACCCCCATATATCCCACTTGAAACTAGGTCGTGTTGTGGGGGGCGGTTTGAGATGTATGCAGACCTATCATCTACCCTAAAGGGTAAAGCGGTTGTTTCCATGAAGACCTCTGGCTTGTGCAAAAGTGTGAGCGATAAGAAAAGAAGAACCAAGACTAGTAAAAGTAAGTACAAAAATAGGAGGATTGCAACATAGAAAAGGTAAGCAAAAGCACTCAAGTCTCCATCTAACATAGAAATCTTCTATCCTATTTGCTACCTCTCTAACTCCCTTCTAGATGTTGAGCACTAAAGTATAAGAACTATCCACAATGTTGTTCTACCCTTTGTTTTTAATATATATTTCCTTAAATTGTTTACTTTGTTGTTTGATTTAGCACTTAGTTTTGGTGAATAAATTGTTTTCTATTCTTTGTGTTTATATATAACTATGCTAGAGTCACACATCGACTAGACTTGGAACATTTCTTCTCAATATATGTTGGAACCTCCCTTATCTCCTTGAGGGCTCTTTTGAAGAGTAATCTAATATGATACAGACTCTAGGGATTCAACACTTTGGGCAATCTAAACTCGTCTAGCCCCCTCTCGATACGATGGAACAATCAATCTCCATCTAGCCTCTGTTGGAGGGGCATGCTAGAGTACCACATTGGCTACACTTGACCATTTTTCCTAGATATATGTTGGAACCTCCTTTCTCTCCTCAAAGGCTACTTTAGACAGTAATATGGGTTCCACATATTCTCACAAATTAGATGACTTGTTTATATTTGTTTGAAATTTGGAAGGTTTTAGTAAACTTTTTATGCATCATTATATAGAAGTTTTCAAATTGTTTCATTGTATTTTTATTTAATTAAACATTGTCATTATTGCCATCCAAGTTTTTATTACACGAATTTGACATCAAGGTTCAAATAATGGTTTCACTGGTCAACTTGTAAGTTCCAACATAAGTGAAAGGTAGATTTTAAGTATTGTTTTAACATGACAAAAAACATGACAACACGAGTCCGCAATAGGTTCATCCACATACATAGAGTAGTAGTTAGTTGAGACAACCAACATGATGGATAGTGCTTAAGAGGGCTCCCCACACACACATGTAAGAGCCATTTGTTATATTCCTTATGCACTATCCATCATGTAAACAAACCAAACCAAACAAACCTAGTATGTACCACCGGAGGTGGGGTCACCCTGGGGGGAGGGGATGTATGCAGACCTGAGTCACCTGATCTCTACCACCCGAGAGAGTAGAGCTGCTTTTTTCTGTGAAGACCCCCGACTTGTGCAAAAGAAAGGATAAATCTTGCTCAAAAAAGTTTTAGGAGAAAGAACATAAGAAAAACTCGAAAACAAGAAAGGCAGTAAGGCACTATCCATCTTGTCCCATACACTATTTCTGAATATATGCAGACATTGAAAAATTTGGTAAGCTTGTAAAAGTCCAGACCTGCGTTTCATCGGTTAGTTTCTCAAGATGGGATTCCACATATTTGTGGAACTTGACCATCTCATCCATGTCTGTTGTTTGGAAAGATATCAAGGCAGCTTTCACCTCTCTGATGGCACTTGCATAATTTTTAACATCCTCTTCAATTTGCTGGAAGTAGGATGATCTGAAAACAATGAAGTTAAAGATTTGAAGCAACAGAAGTTTATAAATGTGTTAATATTTTCTAAGATTTGGTTCACCTTTTTGTCATCTCTGCTAGTGCATCAGCCATACTCTTTCCATTTCCACCAGAAGCCCCAACTTTGCTGGCCTTCTTTTGTAATGTTTTACCCTTTGTACTGGATCCTTCAACCTTTGATTTGAGTTGACGGTACAGGCATCCCATCTGAGACGATCTTCTCAATTTACTAACTGATTTGCGTAGCAACTTGCCACCAGCAGCAGCAGGAGGTGGTGGTGGTGGAGCACCCCCTATTCCCTGTTGCCCTGGTGGTGGAGGTGCTGGGACTGAACCATCGGACGAAACAATAGGTGGTGGTGCTGGGACCGACCCATTAGATGAAGCAATAGGTGGTGGTGGTGGTGGAAGGCTTCCTGGTGCCGCAGGAGCTGGTGGATGTGGAGGTGAACCTGGTCCCACAGGCTTGGCATCCCCTGATGCCGTGGGTGGTGGTTGAATGCTTCCTGATGCCGCAGGAGCTGGTGGAGGAGGTGAACCTGGTGCCGCAGGCATGGCATTGCCTGATGCCGTTGGTTGTGGTGGAGTGCTAGCCGTAGGAGCTGGTGGAGGAGGAGATCCTGGTGTCACAGGCATGACACCTGATGCCATGGGTGGTGGTGGAGTGCTTTCAACAGGAGCTGGTGGAGGAGGAGGTGAACCTGATGCCACAGGCATGGCATTGCCTGATGCCGTGGGTGGTGGTGGAGTGCTTGCCACAGGAGCTGGTGGAGGAGAAGTTGAATCTGGTGCCACAGGCATGGCATTTCCTGATGCTGCGGATGGTGATGGAGTGCTTGCCGCAGGAGCTGGTGGAGGAGGTGAACCCGGTGCCCCAGGCATGGCATTGCCTGATGCCGTGGGTGGTGGTGGTGGAGTGCTTGCCGTAGGAGGTGAACCTGGTGCCACAGGCTTGGCATTTCCTGGTGCCGCAGGAGCTGCTGGAGGAGGTGAACCTGGTGCCACAGACATGGCATTGCCTGATGCCATGGGTGGTGGTGGATTGCTTCCTGGTGCCACAGAAGCTGGTGGAGGAGGAGATGAACCTGGTGCCACAGGCATGGCATTGCTGGATGCCATGGGTGGCGGTGGTGTTGATGGCGCTGCTGGTGAATGTGGCAATGGTGCTGCTGTGTTACTGGAGGTAGATGGGGGCGGAGGAAGTGGAGGCGACATTGAGGGTGGTGGTGATGCCGTATTACTTGTTGTCACAGAGGGTCCTGGTGGAGGTGGCACAGGTGTTGCCATGTCACCCTTACCCTCCGAAAGAGGTGGTGGTGGTGGTGGAGTGTTTCCTAGTGGTGTGGTGGATGATGATGCTGTATGGCTTGTGGCCATCTCAGATGGAGGTTTATCTTCTGACGCCTTGGGAATTGGAACTGGTGGTGAAATCTTCGACTCCCCACCTGGCTGTGGTGGTGGTGGTGATTTTCTTGCTTCGGAAACCGCTAGCTGCTTTGGTGGTGATTGGATTGTCGCTGAAATGGATGGCCGTTCCGATGATGATGATGGTGATGCCGAACCAGGGATCAACTGTACATTCTCTGCACCTACAATTGATTCTAACGATGATGGTGGTACCAAAACCTCCATTTGCAACTTTACAAAACCATCAGAATCCACATCCTTTTTCTTCCCATCAACTTCTGCTACTTTAGAGTCCCTCTTTGCTGGTTCATTGTTATTCCTCTGATCAACAGATTTCTCAACTTGGTGTGCTACATTAGGGTGCATCTGGAATGACAAACATTTAGATCAATGACATTTAATTTCTCAACATCTTGATCTCTCAGAGCATCTCCAACAGATTCTTTATAATTTCTACAAAATGGAGAAACAAAAGTTAAAATCTCCACAAAAAATTACATTTAGCTCCAACAGTTTCTCCATTTGAAGATTTCAACATTAATTATTATTATTAAAATAGGGACAGGTTCAGGGGAAAATCGCAAACAAATGAAAAACTGAGGAACACCTTGGTAGACGTTCATCTGGACAGTATGCACAAGTGAATACAAGTAATTTATAAGCAATTTATCCGGCATGCACATGTGCATAACATGTACACATACATAAAAACCAAGAAACAAGTTCAATTACTTGTATGCACATGTGCATACCGTCTAGATGAATGGTTACATGGTGTTCCTCAGTTTTTCATTTTTGGGGGTTTTCCCAGAACCTCCCTCTATTAAAATATTCAATAGATTTAATACCATTCTCTCTCTCTTCAACATTTGATTTTGGAGAGTTCTCCGACTTTGGAGATTTTAATCCTCTCTCCTACTTTCTCCATTTTGGAGGATCTTTTGGAGCAAAAGAATAGGTTTAAAACTCCAAAATCTCCATTTTGGACAATTTGTTAGAGATGCTCTAAGAGGCAAGAGAACAGGTGGAGAAGATGTAAAGAGCATGCCTTTGCAGATTTGTTATTTGGATGCTCCGGGAGAACTGAGGTTGGAGTTGTCGATGAAGATGAAAATTTTGCTTTATCTGAATCCGACCTCATAGAATCCTTCCCACAGGAACTAGAAGGTGAGTCTACATCTTCTTCCATTTCTTCTTTATCATCCCTATCCTTCATATTATTCATTCTCTCTCGTGTGACGTTGATCATGTCATCAAGCAAAGACAGCACTATAGCAATTCTCATAGCCACAGGAACCATATTACAAGAAGATTAATTTGGATCATATACACTGTAATGAAGTACACCAGCATCTTTAAACAAACTCGCTCACTAATTATGTCAATAGAAAACACTAACTTACCATGTTTCTCCAAATCATCATTAGCTTTGTCATCTTTTCTGGATCTGACCATCCATTCATCACTATGCATCCAATGATTCCCAAGAGACTTGATAGCTACACAAAGTTCATCGATTACCTATTCATAAAACTCGTTGAATTACTATGCCTCAAAATTGGTACAAGAATCTAGTTGTTTGTGCATGTTGAAGTCTACAAAAATCCAAATTCTATGTTTATGCTCTATGGTTAACAAACCTTATCCATAGGCGCTCCTTTTGAATCTGACACAGAAATACAATGCACAACATCAGGATGTAACGTATGCAGTTCTTTCACGGTATCTTTCACCAACTGCAGACAAGTCAGAGAAAGAGGTTGGATTAACAATTTCCTACACCTTCTACAAAGGCTATTTGCTATGGTCGATAAGCTAGAGGTTAGTTAAAAAGCTATTCATGTTTGGTAAAAACTAGCTGATAAGCTAGACGACAATATAAAATGACCAGAAAGGACATGTTGAAGAATTAATTGAAAAATATAAGGGAGAAAGTTGGAAAAGAGTTGAAAAAAGCCCATGAAGATTATTTCAAGAAGCTAGCTTATGACTAACCAAGGGGATTTTTCAATAAGCTAATTTATGACTAACCAAGGGGATTTTTCAATAAGCTAGCTTGTGGTTTCCAAACATGGCCAAAGAAGTTCTTTTTTTCACCAAAAAAGGAAAAGTTCACACATGTGGATCAGTAATCACCGACTCTACATTTCCATTCTAATTCCATAACCATATAAATGATTATACCTCTATAATGGTTACAGAACCAACACAAGGAGGCAAATCAACCAAGTCTCTAAAGCTCATGAGCTTCTCTTGAAGCTCAGTCATTGCGGCAAAGTTGGCAGCTTCCCCATGTGACTTCTGCACCACCTCATCATTGGAATCTCGAGCCTTCACTGATGATTCAGACTTCTCCATCCCATCGTTTGAATCTTGAGCCTTCTTCAATGATTCGGACTTCTTCACCCCATCGTTGGAATCTTGAGCCTTCTTCAATGATTCAGACTTCTTCACCCCATCCTTAGAATCTTGATCCTTCTTCAATGATTCAGGCTTCTTCACCCCATCTTTGGAATCTTGAGCCTTATTCAATGATTCAGTCTTCTTCCTTGTGGATGAAAGGTTTTTACATGTCTCCCGAATGCTTTTAATCCTCCTCGAGGAGCCTTTTCCTTTCTTTCAGATAAAAACAAATCAATCAGCAGAGTAAATATCACTACTACTAATACTACAACTCCTTGAACCCATTTGGGTTTTTCATCAAACAGCTTAGGTGCATTAGATCAGTAATATGGAATACACAAAAGAAGAGTTATGATCTTTATCTAGCATTCCCATTATTGGATCATACTTAATGACAATGATTAGCAGGCATAGTAACCAAATAATAAAATATAAATACAACAACAGATTTATATCAAGCAGACATAGAATTGGAAAGTATAATTAGAATTAACAAGACAAAAAAATCTTCAAAACAAGATTACCGCAGACCCAGAAGGCTTCTTTCGAAAAAGAGAGCCGAAGCATGCTGCCATTCCAAACGACTTAGATGAATCCTTACGCCCCATTGTAATATAAATTGATAAAATCCCTTTCGGTCAAATCATTTGGTTCAGTAGTACTTGGGTTGAACAAGAACCCTAAGGGTTGACAATTGATCAAATTAATGCAGAAAAAATACCCAACAGAAGATTGAAAGGATAAAGAACAATCACATAGAAAAAAATTCAACTTTTTTTTTTCTTTCTGGTTTGAATTATTCAACTGATGAACATATTATCGAGCGACCCATTTTCTGGACTCTCTTCGTTGAATCGAAAGAGTCCAGAAAATCAAGAGATTTTTTCGTATTTTTGTATATTTTTGGGGGAACTTTTACTAATAATGTAAAAGAAAACGACCCATTTGGTGCATGATGCTCGCGGGCTTGTGTTCTTGAGTTCCAAATCCAACCGGTGAAGAAAACATGGAAGCTTGCTATTTATACTAACGACTAATTACATAAATAGTCCTTCAACTCAATCATGATGTCCAAAATTCATCCCTTAAAATTTTCATTTTTGGCTTTATTTTGAGAAAGTTTTTTCATTTTAGTCCATGGCTTAATTATTGTTTTTTATATTAAAATAATCAATTTAAAAAACATATAAACATGCCTGTGTTCTCTATCGTAATATAAAAATTATGATTTTTAATGGTGTGTATCACTGTGATTTGTTTTGTATGAACATACAAATGCAACTTCCAAGCTGAGTTTGTCGGTGTGAAACACTGAAGTTAGGTTGTAGATAAAAAAGACTGAGATGCAAGAGTTGCTATACAATATTCGCAATACAGCCAGCGTTAGAGCAGATTATAACATAGCCCACTTCGGACCAGATGATGGATGGTCGCTGAAAAGGTTGTTAGATGACGAAAATATGTAGAAGTCAGAAATTATTTTACGTCACCAGTGACATAAATGAATCAACCCATTGCATGGAGAGCTAGTATTTATAACAAGGATTCAACGAATCAACCACTTCATGAATTTAGTGTTTTGATTAACATATATTTGTTTCACAATGTAAATATTTTTTATGTGTTTATTAAAACAAAAAAGTTTCACATTGAACCGAATACAGATGAAACAAACACAATATGAAACAAATATATGTTGATCAGTATATCATATTCTAGTCTTAAATGGAAAAAATCACGTGCAACAATAACTTATGATAATAGCTCTCACAGTTATTACAATATATAACGTTCTCAAATGATTAAATCTGTTACAGATATAAATAAACCAATGAGACAAATGTGACACAACCAACAAACATATTTATTGTAAATTAACATTATACATACAAAAAAATATTCCCAAAGAACAAAAAATACCCGTATCGTCGTATTTAATAGACTCCTCTTTGGACGTGTGAACGTATTATACACCAACTCACAACCATCAAGCGGAAACACGAATTAAGAACACCATAATAACAATCGTTCTTCGTGCCAGATAGGCGTTTGTAAATTCTTAAGTTGCTTTCGAACTGGTTTTCTTAAGTTGACCGGAAGTACCCTTCTGGTTAACTGGTTTTACAGGAGTTGTAGCTCCGGTTTTGGTTTTAGAACCAGACCCAGAGCTACCACCTGCACCAGTTTTCGTGGCAGTTCTTTCGGCTATTCTCTTTTGTCGTTGGATTGCCAATTCTTCCACCCTCTTTCGAATCTCATCTTCCTGTTTCAATATAAAACGCATTATAAAATCAAACAAACTCAGTATATCCCACCTATTAGTAAGGGTAACATTGTCATTTAGTTAATAAAAGAATGTAATAATTATACTTTTTTAATACTTTACAATTATACCCTTTATCATTCATGGAAAATTTTAATTTCTCCATTTGTTAGTAAGGATAAAATTGTCATTTAGTTAATTAAAAAGTATAATAATCATACTTTTCATTGTGTACATTTGAAACTTTATTTTCATACCTGTTCTCTTTTGCTCTTGTGAACGATCGGCCGGCTCACAAACGGTAACCTCTTATCGGTCGGGAGAGATTTCGATAACGGTCGAGTTTTCATCACCTTCTTTTTCGTTTTGACCGGAACCTCTTCGGGTTGTTCTTTCGTCTCAACTGGAGCCGGCTTCGGTTCCGATTTTGTGAAAGGAACCTCATTCCCGTAGTCGATTTCCGGGGTCCACGAGGACCGAACGGGTGGCTCGGCCCCAGAATCACGTGAAACCATCAGATAAAGGTCATCCGGCTCGTAGAACCCGGTTTTAGCCACCGGACCACCCGAACCATCTGTGACATCGGGTTTATTCGCATTTTCGACCATGCTAACATCCGCCGATCGCCATTGTGAATCATATGCTGGCGTAGTTTGCGGCTGTACCATGAATGAATCATCGATCGGCACAATCTTTTTGCTCGATTCCAATGAAAAAACATCGCCTTTCATCGAAACATAATCATCGTCAAAGGTTGACTTTCCAATCGTATTCTCGGAGTTCTTGACCACAAACCAATCTTCTTCCCGTTTGTTTCTGATCATCGAAGACTCCGATCCAAGATCCTGGAAGTTCTTCATTTCATTCATTCCCGTTTCTCCGAATCTCTGCGAAATCACCATATCAGCATCCGAAGAATCCCGTCCCTTCACACGAAAACTATCGCCGCCCTCGAAATCTTGAGAGTTGACATTTCTAGATTCGTTGACCCCGCTTCGTTCTGGAACGACGAATGAGTCGTTAATCCCGGTTTTCGGTCGATTCTTGACGAAATTCTCCGACCCCATGTCCATCGCATCCTTTCTCGGCAAAAACGATCCGTCTTCCGAGTTTCTGATCGTAAAATGTTCATCTTGAACATCATCTTTCAAGAGCAGATTTTGAAATGCATTCCAGTTTTCGTTCCGCTTTCCCGATTCCGAATCCAAATCCAAATCCGCACCCTTTTTCTTATGCGATTTCGACGATTTGTTATGGTGTTTCGCCAATGATTCAAGAACACCATCAACTTCATCTCCATCAGAATCATCGGTACCTCCATCAGAATTCTTTCTATTGGAAGTTATATAATTAATGTTCCGAATAACAACCGTTTTCGAAGACTTCTTTCGGTTCTTTTTAGCCGACTTTTCTTTCTTCGAGTTCGTACCTGAATCAGTTACGGAATCCGAACCATCCTCATTGCTATCATCATCATCCTCTTCTTCTTCATCTTCCTCTGAGCTTTCTAGCAATTTCGACTTCTTTTTCGAAGACGATTTATGGTGGCGCCCATGGCTAGAATCATCGGCATTCGGAGGCCAACTCATATGAGCCGGATAATACGGTGGCATACCCGGGTAGGGATACGGGTATCGTGGTCCTTGTGGGCCCGGAAAATTGTACATATATTGTGGAATCTGGTTCGGCCACGGCATCTGCATCCCGACATTTGTAGGAGTAGATGGTAACTGATCCGCCTGAGTAACTGCACCAAAAAATCTCTATAAGAAACCTTTTAAGCACATTTCAAAGTTGAGCGGTAAAACAAGCAAGTAAAATTAGCTGATAAGCTAAAAACTAGTTGCCGGCTAATAAGCTAGTTAATAAACTAGTCAATGTACCGTTAAAACTAGCTCATAGGCTCGCTGGTCGCTCATAAGCTAGCTACTGGCTGAAAAGCTAGCTGCCGGCAACTGTAATAAGCTAGCTGATAAACTAGTATATGTACCATTAAAACTAGCTTATAAGCTAGTTGGTAGCTGATAAGCTAGCTATTGGCTGAAAAACCAGTTGCTGATAAACCAGTCAATGAACTGTTAAAACTAGCTCATAAGTTAGCTGTTGGCTGAAAAACTAGTTGTTGGCTGATAAGCTAACTGATAAACTAGTCAATGTATGTGTTGAAACTAGCTTAAGCCAGTTATCTTTGGTAAAAATAACTGATAAACTAGATGACAATATAAAATGACCTAAAAGTAAAGTAGAAAAAAGTGGAAAAAAACCTTGGAGCTTATGGCCAACTAATTGGGGATCTTTCAATGAGCTCAAAAAATAAGGCAGCGAAGTTCACATGAATTATATTAAGAAATAAGGTGTCCACTTAGTTTTTTTATAGGACACCCTTAAGAAGCATCCTATCAACACATTTTTTTACAGGACACTTGCTGTTACAAAGACATTTTTAAAATAAATTCATATGAAAAGACCAATAGGATGTTTTATTTCAAAATTGTCCTAAAAAACGCCCTCGGGAGCGCAGCTGAGTTGGCAAAGAGGCGGAGCGACGGGCTTGAACCCCTCCACTAGCCTCAGTCATTGAGTCAGCTTTGAAATGTCTCCTCAGATATGCTTCCTAGGGGACGGGTTCCACGTGGGGCCGGTCGGGGTTGCCTGTAAATTTGTAATCAACCTTTTTCTCAAGGACACCTAATTGGTTGGTCCTTACAAAATTAAGACCTATTAAGCAATCTATTAGGACACTTAGGGGCTATTTGGTTAGTTTTCCATTAAGCCCTATACGGATAAAGCTGTATGGATTAATCTATTTGTATATACTGGGAAGGTTTTTGTTTGAGTGTATCTTTTGACTGGCAAGGTAGGTTTGGAACAATCAATCTTGGTTTTCTGCATAAATCTCCCCCTAGAAGCTTACTAAATAAGCCACTTTCTATATTATTAAACCCCTACCAAACAATCATGTATAGTTGACCGAATAAGTTGCCAGTTCCTTTAAGCTCATTAAGCTGCTAGCAAACAAGCCCTTCGACATAATATAGCTTCCTATAAAACCTATGTCTTTATTTTTCAGGACCCATCTCCTTTTATCATCACATTTTTTATCGAACCCTCAAAAAGACGACGAAATGGATACGTTGAGTGATGAATAAAAAGCAAGAAAATGGATATATGTTTTTCACCTTCAGAATTCGTCTGCTCAGATCCATTTTGCATAGCGATAAAGTTAAGATCGTTATTCAAAGTCGAAGCATTACTTTCGGTCGTTAGTAGTAATCCGGAAGTACCAGTGTAAGCTAGTTCCGAAGGGGGAAATGCTGCCATTGCTGCTAATTCATCCATCCATAAACCATCATTATGCTTCTTCTTGCATAAATCTTTGAATTCTATGCATGCTTCCCTGTATTATATAACAAATTCTTAGTTTGGAGATTTAAACATCATGATTTTTAGAAGTTAAATTGGGGATTACATTCAAAAATTATGAAATTCTAAAAGAATTCTATGATGGGACCCACAAAATGAAAAAAAGAACGAAGCTCCAAGCAAGTTTCAGTTATTTAGGCAAAAGTCGATTATCGACAATCCCAACCGGCTCGACACGAAACCCGTGTCCAAGTACACCGATATGAGGGGGCATTTTTGGCTCACTCAGCGGTTGAGGCTAGTAGGGGCGGGGGTGGGAGCGCGATCGAACGCATGATCTGTCTTGTACTTGTGCAAAGTCTCCCTGCCCCTTTGCCAACTGAGCTACACGCAGAAGACAACAAGTTTCAATAATACCATTGTGATGGTTATAGATGTACAGGGCGAGTGGTTTCTTGGTCCTTTGGCGGTGTATCTTATCCATCACATCCAGAGTTAGAGACAATGGGACCCACAAAATGCAACGAAAATCCCGACTCTATTTAAGAACATGAACATTTTTTTGTAACAGTGAGTGTCCGGGCCAGCTTGCGTGCACCTTGACTAATCCCATGGGGATAGTGGTGGATCTACTTGTAACCATGTGGTGGTACATGCTACCACTAATATATTCCGTCCGTAAAAAAATTACGACCCTTAAAGGTTCTACCACCGGCATCGTTGCTGAAATTTTGAGAAGCTACAATAGCATATCGAAACTTAAATTCGAGTTTTAGTGGTTAATAATAGTGGAACACAAAAATCCTAACCGTAAATAATTGGAATTACACTAATTTCTTAGTGTTTTGTATTGTAATTTGTAACTTTAATAAAACTTAATTTATTTCATTTAGTATTATTTTGTGCTACCACTAGAAAAAAATTATGGATCCGCCTCTACATGGAGACCTAAAGAGAACAAGAAAGAAAATCCTCAGTATGGCCCTTAGGAGACCCGAACCGGCCACCTAAGGGGAGGAGCCACAAGCCCTAGCCTCTATTTGCCGGTTAAGCTGGTCCGCAAGGTTAAAATCTCAAAATAAGCAAAAAGATGATAAAAGAAAGGAATTCAAGACAACCTTGAGCTTAAAATTAGTCTTTTTATGATCTCTTTTCTTTGAGCCCCTAAATGTTGCATACCTTAAACGCGAGGCTCCGAAATCACCAGCAAACACTATGAGATCATTCATGTTTTCTGGATCGAATCCAGCTACAAGTGCACGGGCATACGCCATTGCTTGTTCTTTCCTAAGCATTGCTTTCCGTGTCTCCAATAACCGTTGAAGTTGAATCCTGCCCGAATGCAAATTACAAAAGTGAACTTTAGTTATATTGACCTAACAAGATTTGATGAAAACTTATTCACAATGAAGATCAATTTACTTGGAATTTTCTTCTTGTCCCTGGTCACCAGCTTCTCCGGCTTTGAGCTAGAACAAAAAATATAAATTAGATACAAACAAATTTGTTCCCAAAACAAAGATATAATCGACTTATGTGGCCAAACTATTCAAGATTAGGATATGAAATTGATGAGGAAAGTTCAAGTGATAACCATAATTTTTTTTTTGAGAAACTGGGAACTAACTAATTCATGTATTATTCATAATGAATAATCATGAAGTTTGAGCAAAAGGTTGACTGCTGTCAACCCCGACCAGCCACACAAAGAACCGACCCCCTAGGAACCACATGTGAGGAGGCATTTCAGAGCTTACTCAACGGCCCCTGCATGATTCGAACTTCAGGGCCGGTCTTAAGCTTTCCGATGCCCTGAGCGAAAAAGTTAAAAAATGCCCCTTTGCCGATTTTTCAACAAATGAAACATATGTTTTAAGGGGTTTGCAACCTAGTCGATTTTAATTAATTATAATAAACTACAACGAGACATAAACCAATTGATATCGATTTTAGCAAGAATAGTAAGTTTCCAAATATTATTATATGGATTTTCAAAACAAAAACCTATAAAAAATATTAATGTTATGTTTTCGAAATCTGTATTACGAAGGAAATGGAGGGAAAGGAAGAAAAGTAAAAAAACTCGTGTTCCCAAAACCTTTTTAGGAGAGAAAGGAAAGGAAACAAAAGAAAAATAAATATAGGTTTACTCCCAAACTTTCCTCCCAAATATGGAGGAAAGGAAATGAAAGATTTTTTTTTTGATTAACCTGGGATATCCAACCCGCTATGCGAGCCGACTAATCCCAGGGAGACCACCTGCTTTGCAGATAGCCCAGAGTCACCGCATTTGAACCTCCGTGGCCACAAAGGGATTTTTATTTCTCCTTAGATTTGAACCTGGGACCTCCTGGTACTTTTGACCTTTGGAGCCAAGCTCAAACCAATCAGGCACCAAATTCAAGAACACAACGGAAGTGTAGAATGTTACTAATTTTATTTTCGATAATCAGAAATATGTGTAGTCATAAAGAAGAATACCAAAAGCAACCATTTTTTAAAATATAAGGCATCAAGAAAATCAAATAATTAAATATATAAATCAATAGTAGTTGGGTGTTAAAAGTGTGTAGTTTTTATCTGAGATCAGTTGTTCAATTTTTGGCATTTGTAGATTTCTTAACTTTTTAGTAATCCTATCTTAGGAACTGGGCCTGATTTGATGCCCCTTGGGCTTTGATGCACTGGGCCGCTCACTACTTGGCCGGGCCTGTCGAACTTGAACTGTATTTGAGCAAAGTCGCTCCGCCCTTTGTCATCATGTACTTCTATTGTTTATGATATCATGCATTTTCATCTTGAATATCTATCACCTCATCATGAATATCTATTCATAATTAAATATCTATGACGACATTCATAATGAAGAAAGCAGGAAGAGTTGGTTCCCAAATTCTCAAAATATTAACGGTTCTCAAAAGATATCCCGGTCAAGTTTCAATTCAAAATTAACTAAGGGCCTGTTTACTTGTGGCTTAATGAGCTTAGTKGGTAAACCGGCTTATTCGCACAGACAAACAAGGCTGTTTACCTTGGGCTTATTCGCTCAGAAATGGGCTTATTCGCCCAGATGAAAAACATGTGTTGTCCAGGTTAAGCCAGGTAAAAGACTTCTCCTACCCTTCGTTCTCTTCTCCATCGATCCAACATCCTTCGTTCTCTTACACCTTTCTCAAGTAAACAGGCCCCCATCGATCTCTTCTCCATCGACAAGTAAACAGGCCCCCATCGATCTCTTCTCCATCGACAAGTAAACAGGCCCCCATCGATCTCTTCTCCATCGACAAGTAAACAGGCCCCCATCGATCTCAAGCTTTTTAGAGAGAGAAATAGGGTTTTAGAGCGAGAGACCAAGGGTTTTTAAACCTCCCTCAAGAACCAATTATTCATCGATCGACGGCTGTTGCACTCTTTTCCGTCGATCGACCATACCTGTTGCAACGAGTAGAGCGGCGAAGGCGACCGGAGATGGCGGCGAAGGTGACCGGAGAGAGCGGCGAAGGCGAACGCCAAACAGGCGAGAGGGAGGATGAACAGGCACAAATCAATTTTTTTTTTTTGGGTATTCAAGCTGCAGTTTGCATTTATTTTATTTATTTTGGGTATTTGCTGTTTGCTTAAGGTTTTCTATCCTCAGGGGTAAATTGGTCATTTATGTTATTCAGATAGAAAAGTAAACAACAACATAAATTTATCCAGACAGACAAATTTATCCAAACAGACAAATTTATCCATACAAAACTTAATAGAAAATTTAGTAAACAACCCCTAACTTGACTTTAAAAAGTCAAAATCTCTTTGTAAGTTCTGCAAGAATTTACCTTGGAGGGATCAGCAGACTTCTTGGTGCTTCCATCAGATGATAATAAACTCCCTACTAACAAATCAAAAACAAGGTGAAGATAACATATAAACACGAAAAAAAACAGATAATTGAGAGTTGACTTTAGGTGTTGACTTTTGACTTTCAAGTAATACCTTCGCCCGCTTGCTCTTCTCCATCATTGCCATGAACAGAATTCTCGATCTGTGAAATTTCTTTTTCAATTCTTATAAATCTCTCAAGAACTTCAGGTGAGTTTATGAATCGCACAAGCCTACAAAAACCAACCCAAGTGTTTCAAATTCAAGCAGCCCCAACTAGTTTGTGTTAAAATTACCTATTTACCCTTGTCAGTATTGTGAACTATGATGCCAAGATTCCCTTATTTTGTCATTGAATCGTGGATATTTTAGACTTTTGATTGATAGTCAAACTATGTGTGGAATCAAAGGTTGTAGTACATATTAGTGTATTTTAGATACTCCAATCGTCCGGAAATAAATGTCAACAATGAAAAAGGGCACACAATTTTAGAAATGTATAATTATTACCTTTTGCAAGTGGACACTTATTTTGGGACAAACTAAGAAAAATTACCTATTTACCCTTGTCGGCATTGTGAATTATTGATGCCATGATAGTTAGAGTTGCTTAATTGCTTGCCTAATTGGAGGTTTACTCGATAAGGAAAAAGGCAAGGCAATTATTTTTGCTTTCCAATCAGGCAAGCAATCGAAAAGCTTGAATCAATAAAGATAGGTTTCTTGAGGCTCATGGACCACTTGATTCTTATTTATATCTAACCACACCATGCAACATTTCGATTCTTGGACCATAATGTTAATGAGGGACCACGATGCACAAGGGTTAGGAACAAAAGTCTTTTTATGTGGGTTTTCCTCAAATTTTGTGAAGAGGTTGTTTTTTGTAATTCACAAGCCAGAGGTCTTCTCAGAAACAGTCTTTCAATCTCTTGAGACAAAGGTAAGGTTTGCGTACAACTTAACCCCCTGACTTTAAGGTAATATATACTGGGTGTGTTTGATTTGGTCGGGTCTTGGTTGTTTCCGTGACTTGGACCACTTTATATACACAAACATGGCTTGTTGAAAACTACCTACATCCCAAAATAAGTGTCCACATTTCAACTTTAGTTTCTCCCAAAATAAATGTCCACTTTCAAGAGTAAGCGCCTATATTCCAATTCTACCCTTACTATTATAGATGGAAAAATTCATTACTCCCTCTGTTATCAAGAGTAACATTGTCATTTAGGGGTTGTTTGGTAACTCATGTATAGATAAAGCTATTTGTGTGAATTATTTTGTCTGTATAGATTGAGAAGGTTTTTGATTGGGAGAGTTTTTTCATAGATGGAAGGAGTGTTTTTTTAATTGGGAGGAGCGAGTTTGGAAAACACTTGGCTTTCTGCATAAACCACTTTCTATATCATTAAGACACTACCAAGAGTCATGTATAGCAGACCGAATAAGCTGTGAGTCCCATTAAGCTCATTAAGCTGCTAACAAACAAGCCCTTAGTTAATTAAATTTTTTTAATAATTACACATTTCTAAATTATTTGTTTTTTCATGGTGGACATTTGTTTTGGAACAAAGCGAGTAGTTCTATGACTCAAACCTAGTCAGATAAAATGGAAACCAAAGTGAAAAGTGAGTCATACCTTTGGAATGTGTATTTGGTGAAACAAAATGCGCTATTGGTGTTTGGACGAAGAGTGATCGAATACCCGCCTTTTGAAATCTGATCTTTAAAGAATTTCAAGTGAGATATGAAAGGTTCCACCAATCCAGATGCCAATTTCTCTTTGTTGTTTCCAGAAAAGATCAAAAGATCACATCTTCAAGATAGTTCCAACATGAACAAAGAAAACCCCAATTAGCACAATCCGAATCGCACATAAAAATCTCCATACACACATTTTTAAATCTATAAACGTTTCAAGAATCTTCAAAACATCGATCAATTGTTTTGATGTTGCCACTAAAAAGTTGTCCAAGATCACTATTTCTAGCATTCTTTTTGCATTTTTTTCACTCCGAAGTGCCTAAATACTATTGTTAGAGATGTTGATTACTCAAGAAGGAGGTTCAGGGAAAACCCCTACAAAAAATGAAAAACTAAGGAACACATTGGTAACTATTCATCTGGACGGTATGCACATGTGCATAACGGACAAATTGCTTACAAATTGGTTGTATTCACATGTGCATACGGTTCAGATGAAGGGTTACCTTAGTTAATCATTTTTTTGCAGTTTTCCCCTGAACCTGACCCTACTCAATAATCTTTTTCAAGTCTTTAATCCAGAAATACCCAAAAACATTCAATTGCAACAGGAAAAATACAAACCCAAACTAGCAAATTGAAATCACACCCCCAAAAGGAAACATCTATAAACAGTTTTAAGAGAATCAATGAGAACCCAAATCAGCAAATTGAAATCAGACCCAAAAACATACATTTTACACCAACTTAAGCATATTGGTGCATACAAACACACACACACACACACAAGCCACACTCAATTTCTTTCATATGAACACAGAGAGAAAACCAAGAGATCAAACTTTTATGATTTTCAACAAGAACAAAGTAAAACCCAACTCAGGGGATGTTTGATTGGGTTTCCACTAAGTCCTGTACTGATAAAACTGTCCGTGTAGATTAATCTGTTTGTATAGATGCGGAAGGTTTTTGGTTTTTTCCTAGATGAAAGGAGAATGTTTTTTGATTGGAAGGGACAAGTTTAGAAAAAAAACTTGGTTTTTACATAAAACTCCTCCTAGAGCTTGGTAAATAAGCCGCTTTCTATATCATTAAGCACTACCAAGCAGTCAAATATAGCCGACCAAATAAGCTAGGAGTCTCATTAAGCTGCCAAAAAGCAAACCCTCAATATAACTGAAATCAAATCATCAAAATCCAACAAAAATCTAGGTAAACACAAGCAAAAAGAACCCAAATCAGGGATATTGAAATCAGACCCAAAAAAAGAACAAACTACTCTATAATCAACCCAAACATATTTGTTCATACAAACACACACTCAATTTCATTCATATGAACACACAGAGAACACAAATAGATCAAACTCTTCTGATTTTCAACAAGAACAACGAAAACCCAACTCAACATAACTTAAATCAAACCAAAAACAACAAAGAAAATCAATATACCAACAGAGGATAGAGAGTTAAAATACCTTGTTCTGGTTGGAGTAAGTTGAAACAGAGCATATTCGAGGTGGGTATGAGGATCCATACTGCAAAATCACACACACACACACACAGAGAGAGAGAGAGAGAGAGATGTAAAAAAGAAATGGAGGAAATTAAGAAGAATGAGTGTTCAATTCATGTTTGTGGAACATGGGGGATTGGGATGATTCACAGATCTGGTCAGATTGCAGAGTGTTTTTTAGGGAAAGATAGTGAGCCAGCAGGAAATGATGAAGAATTGCACATGCATAGGAAATGGGTAATGGGGGAAAGAGAGTGAGATTGAAGATTATAAAATGTAGGGTCACACTCAACCTCTTTTTCTTAATCTTGATGCTCTGCTCTTATTGGGGACGAATATGAATATGAATATGAAAATAATATATCCACTTGTTTCTTTATGCTATTTTTGAATGCCAAGAGATCTTTAAATTCCGTTGATTATGGATCAAATTTACCGTTAAATTCAAAGGGTATTTAATATAATGATTTATAATAGGAAGAAGTCTAAAAAAATTTCAATGGACTTTGGTGTTTGAAATAATTAATTTTTTGGATAAATTTTTTTAAACAAGTAAATCTTTGAACAATCTAAAACTTGTTAAATAACTTTTTGGATTTTCTAAAATCTGTTAGGTACATCTTTATGACATGTAAAACTGATTAATGTTGTAAAATAATTGAAAAGGTCTGGAAAAAAAAACCAATGGACCTTCATATTTTAAACGATTAAGTTCTTAAACATTTTTAAACAAAAAAAAAATACTTACATTTAAAAAAGATTAATTGATGAAATTTATATTAATTAAAAATAAAAATATTTTGTCAGTGATTTTTCAAATTAAAAAAAGATTACTGATTAAATTTATTTTAATTAAAAATAAAATATATTTCTTATACGATTTCTCAAAATAAAAGAAAAATAAAAAAAGATTACTGATTACTAATTAAGTCCGTCATGGTCGACCAATATTTTACTATTTTTTTGAGTTCTTGTACTTGATTATCGTGTATTTCGTTTATTTAAATTTGAATTTTTGATTTATATATCCACATTAAATTTAGCAAGAACTGAGGTTCTTTTAAGTTACTAACAAGGTAAAGTTTTATATAAGTTTTTAATTTGTTAAGTTGACAATAATACGGTAAAAAAGTCTAACAAATATGTTAAAATAGATGTTTCTATTTCTTGACGAAATCCTTCTCTTATCCGTCTCGTACGTTCGGTTGTTTCTGTTTTGATAAGATATATATATATATATATATATGTAAAGTAAATATATAATTAAAATAATAATATTTTTTCAATATAAATAAATATGTATTTACATAAACCTTAATATAATTTATCTGTTCCAAAATAAGTGTCTACTTTCAAAAGTTGATAGCTAATTTATTAAATTTGTCCTTAATTAATGCACAAATATTTAAAAGGTGTTAATAGAGATAAATTAGATAAGGGTAAAGATGTTATTTAGTTAATAAAAAAAATGTAATAATTATGCATATATGAAACTGTGCGTCATTTCAATTATAAATACTTATTTTAGGATGAAGGGAGCATTATTTTTTATTAACTAGAAGCGTACTCGCGCAATGCAGCGAGATACATCGTGATTTTAATATTTTATTTTATTCTTTATCTCAGTCGATGTTATAATATGGCTTTATGTGATTTTGAGAAAACGATGATGTTTTTATTTTTGAATAAAATATATGTTTGAATATTTCATAAAAAAATTGACAAAAATATATCGATATTAATATCAAATTAACTATTTGAAATTCCTCATTTTTTTGTGTAATTTTTTAATTCGATTTTTTATAATTTAATTTATGTACAATAACGAAGTAATTTATATTTGGTTTAATAATATATTTTTTTATAAAAATAATAATTATTTATTTTGTTGGAACTCAATAATTATTCTAATTATATTTTAGATTTTTTATATTTTAAAATGAGATGTTCATCATCTAATTGATTATGTTTATCCGTAGTTATTTATATGAATTCAAAATCGAGCTTTATTAAGTTGTACTT